GGAAGGCCTGTGCCCCAGCAGTGGGGACATTAATAGGCTGATGATAATGATAACTTCTAATGCCTGCAATGCTATTCTGTAAAGACAAAATATTCACTCCATTCAGGATCCAATATGGATCAGCGCGTGAAAATTTAGTGAGTTTTTACAGAATAGCATTGCTGTTCAAGTAGGTGGGAAACTAATTTAGACGAACGCGTTTTAAAAAGGAGAAAACGTTCGACCAACTCTCAGATTACAGAACAAGAGGCAGATGGAACGCATGGATCAAGCAAATGCGGCCACCAAAGCAAATACAAAGTCAAAAGTAAAGACTTTTTTGATACCAGTTTTTGCAATGTTTGAACAAGGCGACATAATTTTGATAAAAACCTTTAAAGAAAAGTTTTAGTTAGTAGCCGCAAGGCTACTATTATATAGAATACTTTTTCAAGTATTAAACATTTGAAAGAAGAATTTGCAATTATAGTTATGTTTTTATTTTATTTTTAATTATTTTACTGCTACATGTTTAAATCTAAAGAAAAGTTTTACTAGAAAAATATCCAATAAGTATATTGACATTGTGGGTACAATGCGAACAGGTGGCGCTGCCTTGGGGCTTAAGGCTAGGATAATTTCGACGCGGCCCTCAGGGCCGTGGTAGCATAATTGGTCAGTGCAATCTCCCGGATTGCGAAGGGTGCGGGTTCGAGTCCCGTCCGCTGCCTGGTCCGCTTAAATTTTTTTCTAGTAAATTTTCTTTAGATTTAAAAACCTTTAACCTTATTCAGGGTATGTATTCACAATACGACACGTAGCGTAGCGTAGTGGGGGCGGCAAAATTTACAATAAATAATAAAAATATTTCAACCATTTAAATAAGAGGGCGGCAAAATTGTCCTTCGCCCCGGGCGGCGACACCCACGCTACGCCGCTGAGCGTACTGATGCGAGTTTGTATTAGCTTTTGATTTCGTATTTGATTTAGTGGCCGCACAGTTCCATGCGTTCCATCCTCTTGTTCTGTAATCTGAGGACCAACTGCTGCACCAAAACAGGCTGCTTAAAAGAAGACGTTTCCGATCCCCATGGGAAAAAGGTATCTAAATGATTTCAAAATTGGTTTATAAAAAAAACAATAGAAAAAACAAAAACAACCACACGATGCGGAATCACGACAGGATTCATACCGCTATCCGGGCGGGCGCACTGACCCATAATTGATATCGAGATCTTAATGGGCGTGTCGAATTTCTTCGAGTATACTACTTATACATATAAAAGAGATTTCTGTAATCCAACAAATATTTTGTTTACGTTGTTATCCGATTTTCAAATGAAACGTAACATTAATTTTACGCACGCAAGAAACTCAGCGATGACTTTTTCGTTATTTAATAGGTACCTACACGATAACACAATGGTCATTATTTTTAATTCAAAAATAGATTTAAGTGCAATTCAAATGAATCTCGCCGATTCTTTTAAAATATATTTTGTAGTTTTTCTAATATTAAATCTTACAACGTTAAACACCAACGGATTGGAAGTTACAAATTTACAAGATGATAATATAAAAGATTTTGTGGTAAATTTATATAATGTATTCAAAAATCTTGACTCACAAAAACATTTGTTGACCACAAATAAATACCAGAGTTTTACAGATATTAAACTTGATGAAGACGCAAAGCGAGAATCGAAGGAAAATAAACTAAACAAAGTATTTGTTAAAAGGCTGGTGCCTCACAACTACGAAACTGGCTTATACGAATACGATGGATTACTAAAAACGCTTTTCAAACCTCTGATAAGAGTAGACAGAAATAATAAGAAGATCGTACTTCTCGACAAGAATACTATTCTAAAAGCGAATAAACTACCAAAGAAGCTTTTGAAAAGAACAGAAAATTTCGATATCGTCGAAAGACCGCTTACAGAATCAGTTAAACATGAAGACAGTTATTTAATACAACCTTTTCAAGCAGATTTCAATGAAAAAGTAACTGCCAAACATATTATCAATGACGTGAAAAGATACATTAGAAATAATAATGCGAAGAAAGTGAGACAACTCAAGTATTTGCTACTAAATGTTTTGGGGAAGAGCCGTAGGCCGGAGCTGCGTAGTATAGTGTACTTACCCCCCGGTAACCATGGTAACATGTCCGTGAAGGTCCATTTGGAGGATGTCAATCACCCAGACCACAAATTGAAGGATGGGCAGCCTTTGTACAGTTTTTGGAACTATTGGACGGTAAATTTCATGCCGGCACTTCAGGCTATTCGTATTTGCTATTTGCAAACTTGATAACAGTCTATCCCCATCATGCTTTATTGGGAATGAAAAGGACAGACTGATGACAAGCTTACAAATAGCAAACACGAATAGCCAAGCGAAGTGGCGGTATCAAAAGTGAATAAGCAAATAGCAAAAGTTTTGAGTAGCTATTGGATGAAGTAATGGTTAATTCATGGTCGTTCCGTCTGTGAAACACTTTATCTAGTGGTCAGTGTAAATAGCAATTTCTACCGACGTCAAAAAACCCACGCAATATTATAATACAATAATTAAATTCTATATTTAATTATTGTATTATAATATTGCGTATATAGATAAATAGAAATAGTTGAAAGAATATTTAAGATTGATTTAAGACATAAATGAAGACAATAGGTTGAATATAACTCGAAATATAATCGTGTTTGGCGGCAATTTTTCTAACACGAACCACTAGATTATGACTATAAATTTTAAATTCGTTTAGTGCGAATCTAATGTTTTTTTTCTTTTCTTTTAAATGCATGGCTGGCACACCTCTAAAACTATATTTTTTTCTTCCACAGTACGACAAAGAAATATTCCAGGACAACTGCAAAGGTAACCTTGTACAATGGGGGAACATGTGCATACAGCCTATGCCACATTAAAATAACAACTATTCACTAAATGTATAGTTACTATAATAGCCCACGATTGCGTCTGCGTGATTTAATTCGTCCCATACAAGTTTTTATGTATTTAGTGGCATACACCGAAGCCTGCGCAGTTACAATTTTACATCCAAAAACGTCTACTGCGTAAATTTATTTGTCTGTGGTTTTACTGAAGAAGTTGAAGGGGCGTATTTACCCAAGGAACAATAGAGCCCAGGCGCCCGTAGCCCGGGCCGGCTGCTCCGAGGGGCGGCAAAAGCCGTATGTAGGCGTTTGTTACCTACCTATATTTATATTAAACTAGTGTCCCTCCCTCTCTTCGCTTCGGTGTAGAGCTGTAGTGTAGATTTAAAGACTCTTCATATAAATAAGTAATTATAAAAAAACTGAAAATGGTATATTTGCTTTTCCAAACTTCTATTGACATCACGTCGCTCAATTGTTTTGCCTTCCCAGAATCTCGCCACAACATTTGAAATTTATAGTATGGTATTAAAGTTCAAATTGACTTTTCAGTATTATGGAGTATAGAAAAGTGTTGTTTATGGCCATTTCCAGGCATTTTTTTTAATTTTTCTCTGCGTAAGAACCATCCTCGTACTGCAAGGAATATTCTAAAAAAAGAATTATCAAAATCGGTTCAGCTATTCTCGAGATTTGCGCTTAGCAACACATCCAGCGATTCATTTTTATATTATAGATTAAATCATTTTAGAGGGTAGTGGGGTGGAAATCGTAAATGGCCCGGGGCATGAATCTGGCATTTCAAAATACCCCTCTGAGTGGTAGTCATTACCCATTGGAAAGATAATCGCGCGACTCCATCAAACGAGCGCAATACGAGGTTGTGAGAAAAAATATCTAAACCACAACATACTCTTTTAAAAACTTTATTAAAAATAACTTGTACAGAGTATCAACTTACCTAAAAGGTTTTTTCTCTATGAAATCAAAAGCAAAGGAATGCAATCAGCACAGCCAATATCTAATTGTATGGAATTACTTACTTAAAGCATTATTTTTAATTCAACACTTAAGTATACTATCTTATTACAAATTGTCTGAAATTAATGCTGTCTCTCTTTCTTTCATATTACATTAAACTATAGAGAAAAAGAACATTTTAACATTAATTAAAAAAATTTACATTATTAGGTTTTAAACATATTTCGACATAAAACTTAAAATTACTTTAGATTTTCAGATCATTTACAACTTACAATTGTGTAAACTACAATTAGTGTTAAAAATTTTGCTTATTTTTTTAAAACGGAATAATATGTGACGCTTATAACCACCTTATTAATAAACGAAAAATAACCTTGTATTCTGTTCAGTGAATGACAAATGACATTTGAGTGACACAAAACACGGCGTAACTAGTCTAACCTTATTCCTTCTTTATTAATAAGGGAGTGTTAGTTTGTTATAAATGTACCTACACATGATCTTATAATTAATAGTCACATACTTTAAGAAGTTTCAGTAAACATTTTAAGGCAAAACACTTTTCTAGATGTTTTTTTTTTAATTTAAGTGATAAATTTATATATAGCTTATTACAATATTTGGGTACCAATTATACACCCCGGCAAACGTAGGCAACGAAGCCTGCGCAATAGCACTTTTACCAACAAAAACGTCTACTGTGAAAGCTAAAAAAAAACAAATTTATAAAATAATATACGTATAATAAAGATGTATTTCCATTTTGTAGAAACTTAAAACCACATAAACAAGTCCTCCCTGACCTAATCTTATATTTTCATTAATTTCATTAGTATGTATGTACGCTTTAATACTTAAAGGTAACGAAAAAAATCATTTAATGTAAAAAAATCTAAATAATAATGGTGTAGATTCTGGCATTATACTCTAAACCTAAAATTAAATTTGACTACAGTGTATCCTTGTCATTCTCTATACAGAATGAAAAGGAGAGACAGATATTAAATTTAGTTTAAGTAAAGAGAATCGTGCCAGAATCGACACCAATATTCGTCTTGCCAAATAACAAAGCAGCAAAGAAATATTATTGCAAATGCTAATAATTCCAACACAAAAATACAACATTATTATTTCGCAGTTAAAATAAATAGCATTTAAATTTTTATAGGGATAACTTATTTATGTGGTACTAATAAAAAATTAAAGACAGAAAAAGAACTGAGCGACTCTTGTATGAAATAGACAAAAGACAACACTCTGTTATAACTCGCACCAATGAAAAAACGAGTGCAAATGACGACGTAAGACATTCTGTCCCTCTCGCACAAGCTATCCTAAGTAACGTGGGAGAGAGACAGAATGTCTTGCATCGGCATTTGCAATTCGTTTCTTTAATAGCACGAGTTTTACGAGATAAAACTACCAATGGGCTCGATCATGATGATGATAGCATGAAACCTACAATAGGCTATTTGAGAAGTTTTCGAAAACGTTCAAACATTATTTATTAGAGTAAATACACCATAAAAAGTTATCATTAAAAAAATAAAAATTCTGTTTTCAAATATGCCGCGGAAACGTTTCCCTAGCAAATATGGCGTGTCAACAGGCAGGTGACGTCACACGGCTCTCATTAAAACGACAAACAGTGCAATGTAATCTCACTTCGTCAGCATGTTTACAAGCAGGTGGCGTCATTTTAGGCTCCGCCAATCCTATGCGTTTGCGGTCACATGACAGTAGATACAAAAATCATGAAATAATTTCTATTTGAATAATTTTTTGAGAAAACTTATAAATTATTTGTTCTCCCAGAATAGTCAAATCGCTGCTAATATTCATATTAAATACAGATGCTAACAATTGGAACTTTATTTTTTAACAATGTCATGTCAAATAGCCTATTGGAGCATTCCCTACGCTCAGTTCATTATTTACGTCTATATTAGGAACTATAAACTTCCATAACTTCACTACATTAGTACATAAGTGGGTGCTGACTCTACCCCACAGTTATTATCTTTGGACGACATTAGTATGTACCCATCGTTGCCCCATAAGTTGGACCAAGAGTTCTTAACCAGCCAATAACGTTGGCCGTTTAGTATTCCATAGCCTACTGCGAGGACGGCGTGGTCCAATTCGTCAACTTTGTTCTTGCTGTTGGGATGAAAACATTTTATTTATATTATGTAATTTAGCTACTTATAAACATCTAAATGAAAATTTTACTAGAAATAATTCCTCGAGCCAAGCATCAAATAGGATACGAAACTGCACCTAACGCTATCCTGTCTGATTCGTGGAGCGATTGGAATTTTCTAGTGAAATCTTCTTTGGATTTTTTAATGCTTATAAAAACATTTGTTCGCACTGGATTCGCAAAAGGACGGACTCTCATTTCGCTGGATCCAGTACAGTAATATGGAGAAATATTACAGTCAATTATATAAAATATTACAGTCAGTAATATAAAATATTACACATTTATTTTTACGGTTTTAAAAAAATGCTTTCAATATCTTTATATTCTATTGAAATTGTTGGTACATTACTGACTTAATACAAAAATTCCGAAAAAGTAAACTGCATTTATTTTTGAGATTGCTGGAGGGTGAGGCGGCTTTTTATAAAGCATGATTAAAACGATTACGATTACATTCTGCAATAAAAAAACGTCGTCCAAGTGTCACATTGGCAAATTGTATCTGATCGCATAAGTAATAAAATTTCTGTGATCGTTTGCGATAGAGCGTTTGTGTATGTTAATTATTAAGAAGGTTTTTCCAATATTAAATTGATTCGTAGTTTACACCTTTTTGAAATAAAACTATAGCAGAAAAACTATTGGGATTATCCTCGTAAGCATTTTCGGCGCAATGAGAATTTCGTACTTTTGCGATTCGGACCAATTGCGAACAAATGTAAACAAAATATAATAATTTAGATTTATTGATGAACGCTTTAGGCGGTTCGTAGACTTTTAATCTGGACTAGTTGTTTTCTGAACCAAATGTAGTCTTAATAATAAAGTCAATACTAAAGAATGCTTGCACCAAAGATGGCTGCAAGTTGAGAAACGTGTAGATTTTTAGGCGAATAAATAATTGTTTGTTATAAATTAAAGATCTTAAATCTACTTACCATTTAGGCTCGTAGTAGACACCATTCGAGTAGAAGCTGAAGCTCTTTTGTGACGCATCAATTGCCACCGATATCGGGCCATGCTTGAATATGGCGAGCTGTAACAATAGTAACAAATAAATATATATTGCTAACACTAACACAAATGCTAATTTGCGGCTGAAGGCTACTTCATCATACAAACATTTGCCCCCCCTCCCCCGGGATACGAATCCCTAGAGTTGGTGATACCTTGAATACTGGTAAAGTACCACTCTACCACTAAGGCCGTGAAATAATTACAAATCATATTCACAATCCTACTAATATAATAAATGTGAATGTGTGTAAGTAAATTTAACTCGAGTAACTTGAAAAAACTACGCATTTGGATGCAGTTTCTGAGGGATTGTCAAAAACAAAAATTAACATGGACGAAGTTGCGGGCGGCTGCTAGTCACTTCATAAAACAGAAAAACCTATAAAATTACATACTCACTCTCAAGAGCTCGACGGCTCAGGAGGTTAGCGCTTTCGGCTGCGATCGTTGAAGAAAAGCAACTTTCGCAGTAGTCGGTCATCGGATGGGTGACTAGAAATTTACTGTCTCTCACTCCTCCGTGCTTCGGAAGGCACGTTCAAACGTTGGCCATAGCTGCATCCGCATTCTTTAGAACCCAGTCTGCATTGAAGGCCCATTCGATAACTTTTTTGTCATTTACAGTACCCTTAGTACGAGTTTGAGCTCACGAAAACTATCATAGTTTTCGTAATTGCTTAATATGTTCGTATATCCATTTTGGTGAAAAGTAACCAAATATACATGCATAAAATTTATGAAGACGCAAATGATTTAATGATAGAATTTAAACACTGTTTATTTGTATTGAAAATAGGCCTACTGGTCTTACATGCTGGACTATATCCATACTATTTAAATGCGAAAGAATGTCTCTCTGTCTGTAACCTGTTCACGCTTAAACCATTGAACCGATTTAGATGAAATTTGGTATAGAGATAGTTTGAGCCCTGGGCAGGGACATAGGATAGTTTTTATCCCAGAAATTATCTTTTAAAGGGGGTTTCACCCCGACCAGAGGGGTGGAAGTTTGTATGGAACACCAATTTTTCCACGCAGACGGAATCACAGCCCTTTCATCTATAGGGAAGACCTGTGCCCCAGCACTGGGGACATTAATACGCTGATGATGATAATCACTCACCCTCAAGGCGTTTTCGTTGTTGGTGGTGACATTGACCCACCCCTTGATGGAGGTCACCAGTGTCACATTGTCCACGTGGCAGTAGCCGTCCTGTTTAAAAGGTACATTAAATTAATCAACGTTATTTATTACAAATAAATATTATTCTGTAGAGTTGCACACTGGAAGGAAAATCTTCGCTTATATCGATTTCGAATAGTTGAATTCGATCTCGATACGCGTCCAGTGTCAAGAAATTTTGCTATCGAGGATTTCTAATTCTAGTTAGTTCGTCCGTTGCGGCGCTGTTCAAAGGATCCATTCTTTTCTCTTCTGCCTAATTTTGTACCTCATGAATTATCGTGCTTTTATGTTTAGAAAAATATGCCAAATTCACCACAAGTATAAATATATATGATAAATGTGCATCTTTGACTTTTTTTTAAATAGCTAGCTTTTTGATCAGCCAAGGAAATAAATTTAAACCAATAGTATTAGCTGTCATCTGCTATGCACCATGCTAAGGGTATTGAAGAGTTTCTTTGTTAGGTTGAACGCGCTAATCTCTCGAACTTATTTGAACTGAATAAATATTTCGTGTTAGATAGTACACTTATCGTGGAAAGCTATACGCTATATAATGACATCATACCACGAACAATAGGGGCGGAGCATCAATGAATAATGTTGCAAAAACGCAACAATATTCCATTTGCGAGCCTCCATTACGTGCGTTGCGTAAACGCTTTAAGTTGGACAAGAAACATGTATGACGGAGATGAAAAAAATTATAAAAATGTACGCGGCGACATATGTATACTTTTTAAGTCTTCATACACAAGAGCGGCTCGCAGCCGACGACTTAAGCTTGACTTACTTTTACCCTTTTGTGTTCTTCGAGTGAAACCGTAGGGCACAGTTAGTAACGCATCAACAATTTTGACATATAATAATAAAAATCTCAAATCAATTTAAAAATTAGTCGCTAGTAATTTCTTTTTTTTTTTTGCAACAATTAGTTATAATCTAGGTGTGAACATTGGCAAATATATGTCCTTACCTGTCCCAAATATCCGCCATAGTCCTCTTCAGTGGGTAAGCCGTGCTTCATGATCCACTGGTAAGACCTGAAGTCTTCGCCTCCATCGCAGCCGTTATTACCGAAGCTGAGGGAACAAAACCATTGATTAAAATGGAATGTACCGTTTTATAACACCGAATAAGCTAGATTGTATGTAAGAAGTAAGCTTTCGTCCATTGGGATCATCACATCTTTCTTATTTAACCTTTCTTCGTTATACTATATATCCTTATATACGAAATGCCTGCGTATTATATACAATATAAGACCAAGAGAAAGCTGCAGGCCATACTTTATTAAAGAGAAAATACTAACACTCCCATCAATATATATTATGGAATTAGCAATGTTTGTACGCAAAATCAAACATATTATAAAAGAAATAATAATCCTCGCCGCCAATTTAATCCGATTCTTCCCGAATCTAAACTAGAGATGTATAAAAATGGACCATTATACCGATCCATATTGATATATAATAAAATTCCCGTTACTATTAAAACAGAATCTAATATAAACATATTTAAGAATAAATTGAAACAGCATTTTATAAAAAAAAATATTATTCTGTTGATGAATTTATAAATGAAAAATAAATTTATAAATAATAAATAAACTTAGTATTTAACTTCATTTAATTTAATTTAATTTAACTTGATAAGATATGATTTTGATTTGACTATGATGATATGATATGATTATGATATGATATAAATTGACTTGATTAATTTTTAAAATGGATAAATTTTGTTTAAATTTATTTGGACCTGATTTGATTTAATATGAACAACAATTAAGTGAAATTAATGTATTTAATGTTAAGCTCAAGTTTGTTGCAACACCAACAACGGGGTCATGTACCACTCACTTTTAAGTATGTAAGACCTTATAATAAATAATGTACATGAGTAATGTGATATAAATAAATAAATAAGCTATACTTCCAATAGGGATGTGATGGCTAACTTTATTTTCTTCGTCTCATAATCATCAGCCTATTGATGTCCCCACTGCTGGGGCACCTACTTACCAAGTTTCAAAAGTAGTTCTTATAGTTTCGGAAAAAAGTGGCTGTGACATACGGACGGACAGACAGACAGACATGAGGAATCCATAAGGGTTCCGTTTTTCACATTTGGCTACGGAACCCTAAAACGTAAAAGATGGACCCTCTATTCTCTATTAAAATCTCTAAGTCTTTTCTTTTTCTAAAAATTCATGTCATGTGGGGTGTTAATAGGCTAGTAATGTCCCCACTGCTGGGGTACAGGCCCTCCCTTTGGATGGAATAGGGAGATTGGGCCATGACCCCACCACGCGGGCCCAGTGCGGATTAGTGGGTGTTAACGACTGCTGATGCAGTAACGGAATAATGCGCCTTCCGAAGCACGGTGGAGCTCGAGATAGTAAATTTTTGGTCACCCATCCAATGACCGACCACTGCGATAGTTGCTTAACTTCAACGATCGCAGCCGAAAGCGCTAACCAACTGCGCCGTCAAGACCCTCAACCTAGCTGACCGACTAAATAGAATTTTGATTATATTTTTTAAGCATTTAACTGCTAGATGGTTAAATGTAATGAAAATTTTACTAATAAAAGTTCCACGCGAACCAGGCAGCAAAAGGGAAACCCGCACTCTGCTATCCAGGCGGATGAACTGAGCGTTATTCTACCACGGCCCTCATAGTCCGATTTTCCGAGATTCGACACGGTTTAAATATTTAATACTTGTAAAGGTATTCATTTGACATAGTAGGTTACCTACAATGCAAAGAGATGGCGCCTAAGAAATACTAGAGAAGTTTCGACACGGACAATAAGGGCCGCGGTAATCTTAAACCCGTTCTCGTATCCCACTCACCGCCACGAGCAGTGCCATACTTCCTATATCTATAAAACTCGACACTGATCAAGAACAGTGGGAGTGCGGATAATGGGGCACTCCCACTGTTCTTGATCAGTGTCCCCTAATTCCCATTACACCATTATCACAGGTCCCGTACGCAAACTTGCATAATTCCCAATGTCCCCTTCCTGAGTAACCCGTTCCCATTATCCCTGGGGCCACGGTCTTCAATTCCCTTTCACCCCATTTCCGTGATCTCTTAACCCCGTTCTCGTCTCCAACTCACCCCCACGATGTCTACCGTTGTGTAAAAACAGTGTCCTCCACAGTAATGGAATACGTGTTAATTAGGTGTTTACTAACATAATTATTTATTTTATTTACTAACAATAATGATTTATATCTGTATAAATGACTATAAGGTATATATCTATGGGCCTATGTAGTCTGATCATAAATAAATAAAAAAGTAACCACGCAGCCAAAGGACTAGCAAGTGCTGCAAACTGATTGGTCCGTGCGACGCTCCTATACTTCCTATACCCACCAAATTTAATCCCGTTGTCCCCACTCCCATATAACCTAAAATTCCCAATGTCCACACCCAGTCGCCACCAAATTCCCACTAGACCCATTACCACTGTTCTCGGCTTATTTCCCATATTCCCAATGTCCCCTTGACCAACAACCCCTTTCCCATTATCCCCATTCCCGTCTCCGTTTATCACCGACTCACCCCCACGAGCAGTCTATGAGCGCCTGTTGACTGAGCCGCACCAAATGCCCGCCGTTGTGTAAAAACAGAGCTCCCTCCACAGTACCCACGGTGCCGAAGGACCAGCAAGAACCGCACACCGATTGGTCTGTATCAAAAAAGTAATAATGATAAAACTAACAGCTTAAGTCAGTAATTTTGCTAAATATCCATTCAACCAAAACTAAATGACAAAACGTCAATATCAATTCGACATTATTGTACAGGCAGTCCTCGTACTTATGGCTTGTTAGGTTCTCGAAATGCGCGACGTAAATCGAAACGACAAAAGTCGAGACATCTCCACGGACGCCGGCCCCAATGAAATTGACCTCGCGACAAGTGAATTCTCCTATACCGAAAATCGAAACAATTGATGTATGCTTGAGGAATAGTGTCAAAACATTGTTTGACGTAACTTAAAACGACGTAAGTCGAGGACTGTCTGTATATGATATTAGCAAAATTGTTGCAAGTGGTCCTAAAATATACTTGCAGCAAATTTGCTAAATCTCAATATAACTATAACAAGATATATTCCATACAATAATATCAAATTGACAGTGACGTTTTGACATGTTTCTATGGGTTAAATCTTGTTTTAGTTGAATCGAGTTAGCAAATTTGCTGCAAGACGATAATATTTACATTTCTTTTCAGAGACAAAGATATTAAATAACCTAGATACAACAACACGAACATAATCGTGTCCGAAACCGGGGCTTTTATAATCTGCGTGACCAAGTGCATATAATTCAGGATCATGTCGAATTAAATTAAATAATAATAATAATAAATAAATAAATATTTCCAACACTCACACCAATTAGCCTAGCCCCAAAGTAAGCACTGTAAGGCTTGTGTTAAGGGATGCTAGGTTAACGGATAGAATACATATACTGTACATATATAAGAATATTTAAATAGAAATACATATTAAATATATATATACTAGAGTACAAATGCTCGTATTAATTACACAAACATCTGCACCCACCGGGATTCGAACCCGGACCTCTCGAGTAGGCGACACCATGAAACCCGGCGTACAAACCACTCGGACATGGAGGTTGTCAATTCAAAAATATTTCAATATTTTGCGGCTCCACGGTGCGAAACTCTGTCACTCAATGACGTATTCACGTGATCGTATTCACATGCGAATGCGTCTGTGTACCAAAAGCATTCTTATCAAATTTTGATTCTACCCTGTATTGTTAAAAACCAACCTTTGACTGGAGTGACGGCGCCGAAGATCCTCCAGTCGTGTTCCACCGGCAGTTTGGGGCTCATTTCTTCCACAACCGCTTCCGAGTATGGGAAACTGAGACCTGTCAAATATACAAACACACCTATCAAATTTATAGTCAAAGGGTAGAATAGAAGCATAATAATTTCAATATGTCTTCGTAAGTGACACCAAACATGCCATCAAACTAACTGATTAAACTTGATAGTTATATGAAAACTGTATTGTTATTTATAATTAAAAAGAACAACGTCTTAACTTCGGAAATTAATAATAATAATATTGGAATGTACTTAATGCCCATTTTTAACGTCTACTTTAATGCATGCGGTGTTTACCTTAATAGATTGTTTCACTGGAGTGAATAGTAAATCTTGTAAATAGTTTTAAGTAATGCGTAAACAAATACTGGTGAACCATATAATAATAAATAATTTAATAAACTGCAAAAACAAAGGTGATCTAATAGTTATTTATGTAATTAATACCTCTCATTATACAACAGTTGCACAAAATAACTATTATCTACACCATGCTTTAAAACCTCTGTTAAGATTCTGATTTATTAATTACTGATTACCTTTTTTGATTACCAAAATTGAAACATTCAATGTCATAATAAAAAAAAAACACGAATGTGGGTTTATCACACGAGGCGTTCTAAGAACTTGGAATTCATGAAAAGTTTCGGGGCGCTGTGATAGTGAAACGCGCGTGAATGACAATGTTCATTTTATTTTTAATACATAATACCACACATCGAGCAGTGAAAATAAAAACTAAAGTTGTATGCGCTAAAATTGTTCATTTGTCGAAGAAGGCTAAGGCTAGTCTGCCTTGCAAGTCTGCTCGCTCAGTCAGGACGCGGCTAATAAAAAATGCGGGAAAACTAATACTTTTTAAAAGCTTTCTCATAAAAAGATTACATTTTGTCATGCTATAACCGAGCCCATAATGTCCTAAACGATATTTCTATGTAACAAATTATATTAACATATATTACGGTATGCAAATAAAATAATTGATTTGATTGAAAATATACAGACCTTGATTGGGTCCACTGTATCGGCGTCCGCGCAACGCCGCCATTTCGTCATCAGTGCGATCGGCAAGATGGTTCACTGATAGAGTGAAGCCGCGACGGGCGCGGTTGTTCGAGTGTATGTACCTGACGATGATCAAATACATTCATAATTTTGTATTATGTTATTAAGCACTAGCGGCCGCCCGCGACTTCGTACGTATGGAGTTAGTTATGTGCACATACTTTTTGACTCCAAAAGGGGGTTTATTTCTAAAGATACATTATTATATTTATATCCAAAAAGTGCTTACACATGTAATTCGGCTTGATGTTATTGAAATCTCATAGATGGCGCTGCTTCAAAATTGTCTATTATGTTCATCGGCCTAAGTTACTTATAGTGTGAAGCGAGCTTATAGCATGGTTAACATTATAACAACATTTAAATATGCGTCGTTAGATTACACGTTGTTGCAGAACGCGTTGAAGAAATAAAGGTTCACTGCTCGTTCCCCTTAGGTGATAGCGTGATAATATGTAGCCTACATGTTGACCCGACTTCTTAATAATATTCGTGCCAAAGAGGAGGTGTTCACTCGACGAAAGTCGATGCCATTGTGACAAGTCAACTGAGAGCTGCCGGTAAAGAGCAACAACCCCCACTACCGCACCGATATCGACGGGGAGTGATGTAGTAGAGGGGGTCGGAGGAGGGCTTTTTTTGAGTGTGTATGCTGTTAGTCGCAGATGACCTTTACAGCGCCACCGGGTTTGGGGACGGCGAGATCCTAAGGGGGACCTCAAGCCGAGAATTGGCGAGTGCCTTTAGAGGTATTCCAGGCGGATGGCATCTCCCCACGGGGAGAGTCTCCTCTCCGTCTGGAGCCTCTAGACCACTCGAAATTGTGGGGGTCAGCTCAACTAGAGGGCGTCACTGAGCCTCGAACCTCGGTTCTAGTTAGCCGTTGTCGTGGGGGGCGGGGAAAAACGCCTAGGTACGTACCTGTACATGGTATAACGTGTAACAGGGAGGAGGGCTGTTCGAGGAGGTGAAAGTGGTGCTGTCTCACTCTTAGGTCTCGAATAACAGTTCAGCGCATATAATAATAAGTAAATAGCAAGAGTGCTTTGAACAACACTTTTATGTCTCAATACAAATTACTAAAGCTTAGAAAAGCTTATGCTAGCACTTTACATAGCTATTCGCATTTACGATTTGTAAACTTGAAAACAGTATCTCCTTCTCACTCCCTCCCTATAGAGTATGATAAGGACCACCTGCTATCAAAAAAACAAATAGCAAAAACGAATATGCGAAGTGTAATAAGTGATAAAATTGAAATCTGTACGAATATCAGTACAAAATAATTATCCTCACCTCAAATTTTGTCGGAAGATGTTCAATCGTTTGGCGAGCTCCACATCGTTCTGGTACTGTTTACTGTGTTTCTTTGCGAATCTGCAAACAAATAACAACTTTATTTCTATAATAATAAAAATGAATTATAATTTGAAGTTCTCCTCGGCTAGTTGGTAACTTTATAATAACTACTAGACCACCCAACAAAATAATGTTGTCCGGCACTATAAAAAATCGAATTCTTTGCCCGTGCACGTGTTCCCTCCTACCTACACTCTAGGGTCCAAGAGAGGCGTGAAGAAGCAATTTTGCAGGCCGGCAAGGTGAAGATGGTTGGTGTAGCTGTTATAACTGCTGTACCAGCTATCTTCGCGTTTGGACTTTATCACCACTTAACATTTGCCTACCTGCATATAATAAAAAAAATGGGTGCGTATACTTATGTAGGCGCGTGAGAAGTTATCCTTCTTTGGCATCGTTTAAAATTAGTTTTTAATTGCATGCAAATAATTAATTACAATAAATTAATAAAAAGTCTGGAAAAGGACACAGTCAATAAAGTTCAGTTTTAATTTGAAAAAATAAATAAATAATCAAAATATTCAATTAAAATCGCTACTGAATATAATTTATTAGAACATATGTGATTTGCACTTGTATGAAACTCAAACACGTATTCCGAATATACAAACTAGAAACATGTGGATAAATATTATAAACTAGCGGCCCGCCCTCGCTTCGCTTCGGTGTAGAGCTGAAGTGTAGACTACAGTTTTTGTTCTCAGGCTTGTATTATACACAATGACATTCATCTATGATTCTTCTTATACCTGCATGCAAAGTCTCAGCCCGATCGGTTTAAAATTGATAAAGTTTCATACAAGCTTTCATTCCTTATTTTATCCCCTTGGGATTTTCTTTATATTTTTTTCCGTAAGAACCTTGTACAGAGTAATAGAAAACTACAAAAAAAAACAGCCAAATCGGTCAAGCCGTTTTCATGTTATGTCGGAAAACGGGTTTCATTTTTATATATATAGATATGAAAACAGTCTCTGTTCTAAATTCAAAACTCGTAACTTTTCCCGATGTTTGTCGCACGTGTTTCCCGCGCTAGGACCGCGAGTGGCCGCGCATGCGTACGGTGCGGCGGGCGACGCGGTAATGGCAGCTAAAGCGACCAACTTCATGGTGTTAATTTTTTGTGTTACATGATGCGCGCGCATCTAAAAATTTCACTCTCAACAATTTTTCAGAACGCGCCTAAAGTATAACTTCAAAAACAAAAAAGAATACCTCGTCGATAAATATAAAAATAAGAAAGCGTCACTTTAGCAGTTTTATTTTTCTTGTTAAAAATTGTGTTGTGGCGGATGTTAATGTCTAATAATGGTGGATTATTAACCACTAAGTGTTCGGGAACATGCACAAGTGTTGGCAAGTGAAACAAAATAGCGGAAAGCGTCTTTCGACGTTCCCTCAAAAAAGCCACGGGGAGGTTCCAGTAAATCCCCACACATTTACTGAAATATAGGGAAATGACTTGACTGCCACTTACTTTGACTTGATTTATTACTTTGACCACGAGTGCTATAGAATTTGTAAAGATTTTTAACACTTGACATTGGCTAAATGAACAAGCAGTGCGAATCCATTTAGGAAAAAAAACCGCATCACAGAAGACCACTTGACGACCTCTGTGGTCGAATGGTTTGTACGCCGGGTTTCATGGTGTCACCGACTCGAGAGGTCCCGGGTTGCAATCCCGGTGGGGGCAGATGTTTGTGTGATGAAAACGAGCATTTGTACTCCAGTCATAGATGTTTAATATGTATTTATATATTAATATACATATATATGTACAGTATAATGTATTCTATCCGTTACCCTAGCATTATCCCATAAGACAAGATTACAGTGCTTACTTTGGGGCAAGGCTAATTGGTGTGAGTGTTGAAAATATTTATTATTTATTTATTTACTTGATGTTGTATCATTTTTATGTTAACAGGGTGACAAACAAGCCTATGGCCCGCCTGATGGTAAGCGGCCACCATAGCCTTTAGACACTTGCAGTACCAAAGCTATCACACGCGCCGTTGCTGTGATGTTTGTTTGCGTCAATGTTTTATTTCAGACTAGTGGCCCGCCCTCGCTTCGCTTCGGTGTAGAGCTGTAGTGTAAACTATAGTTTTTGTTCTCAGGCTTATGCTATAAACAATGACTTTATATTTATATAATTACACGTGTTATTGTGAGTCAACCATAAAAGATAGACATATGCTGTTGCGGGATATTTTTTAGACAATTTTATGTAGAATATTTTCGTCATACATGATTTCTATGTAACTTTAACCATTAAGGCTGCACACGCGACGGAAGCTTAAAAAATGGAGTAACTTCTCCCGTTTTCCCAACATTTCCCTTCACTACTCTGCTCCTATTGATTGTAGCGTGATGAAAAGTATTCTATAACCTGCCCAGGAGTATGAGGAATAATTGTACCAAGTTTCGTTAAAATCCGTCGAGTAGTTTTTGTTTCTATAAGGAACATACACACAGACAGACAGACAGACAGACAAAAAATTTACTGATTGCATTTTGGGCATCAGTATCGATCACTAATCACCCCCTGATAGTTATTTTAAAAATATATTTCATGTACAGAATTGACCTCTCTACAGATTTATTATAAGTATAGATACTAAATCCATAGAAATGTTGGTAACAATCAAACCTTAAAAACTATGTTAGTACATTTTAAAAACAAAGTTATTTCATATATACCTTCTGAGGCACCGGTCACATGAACGTGTATATGTACCCAGTGCCTCAGAATGGCACACTCCGGTTTTTTCCCAATAACATCGAGAATACTGTTGGCGCTCCCACGAACCCTGTGCATCAACGATGCAATTCTCTTGCGCATCACTGAAGGGAAGTCGTCTAAGTGGGCATCTGTGAACATACCCGATGCACTGCAGTAGCGTGGGAGCCCCAACAACATCCTCAATCCATTATTATATTGAACACCGATAGCGTTGTATGTCCGCTGCGTATATCTGACCCACAGGGCGCACGTGTACAGAGACTGGCAGAAGGCCTTGAACAAGGTAATTTTAACATCTACGGTACAGCGAGCGAACCTGCGAACCAGCATGTTGCAGCGGACAGCCAACGCTCTCCGTGCTCTCTCAATATCTGAGTCATCTTTCAAGTCCTCAGTGACCACATGTCCGTTAAACTCTTAACTTAATCTCATATGATTGTATTCCACAAATTTCAAATTGTAATACGCTCAGGGGCACATCCAACCGGCCACGCCGTTATTTTCATACAAACATGCTGACTTTGCACGTCTATACATACATTATAAAGTTACCAACTAGCTTTATTTCCGGCATTCGCAAAACACCTTTGCCATAAGGCTGAAAATCAGCGCTGCTGTGGTATCGCGAAAGCGTTTACCACTGAGCATAGCTGAGGCAGCGTCCTATTTGCCTTTACGGCACGCACCTAGTAATTAGTTAACATGTTTTTTTTTTTTATATTGTCTATGTTTTATTATTTTAACCATTTTATTTTCCTAAATTAAATGCTGTGAAAGCCATTAAAATGTTTTTCTTTCTTTCTTCTTTTTTATACATAAAAAAGACAATATATTTCTGCAAAGATCTGTATGCTAAAGTTTGAAGTAAAGCGTTCGACTGCGTCCTAATAGCGTTTTGAATGAATACCAAAATCATTGCATTCGTCCAAAGAAGCAGAACAATGAATTCTTCATCACATTCCATACGATGAGATATGGCAATAAAATAATGCTTTGCATGAACAAAGGCATGGAAATGGGAAGAGATGTTTAAACTGTTCGAAGAGCTAACTGGATAGTCAAGCGTTCAACGTTGAGTTAAGTTCAACTATAGGCCTAGGTTTTGAACCATTTTTGTATATCATAATTATGTCAATTTTTTTAAAGTAATGTGTTTTTAAGCCGCAGCGATATTTCCATGCAAAGAGAATATCATACATTCATGGTATTGTCACAACCTATTGTCTGTATGGCTTAATAGGGACACGAAAACTTTCGTACTGGATACTAAGTACTTAAGTACTATTTAACAGGTATCGTATTGAATAAATTACCAACCTAACTTGACCTTTCAGCTCATTGTAATGGCAACATAGGCAACGCCATCTTGTTCAATCGAGCTGAATATTTTAAATCCTTCCAAAAAATATTTAAAAACCAATTTTATCGATAAAATAAAATACAATTATACCTTAAATACCCAGGGTGACCAATAGATGGCGCTGTACCCCGCTGAATCGCGCTACTGTTTGTCGCCTTCGAGTTTGTAAAGAGTCCCCGTAGGACTAGTATTATCCAAATCAGTTCAGTAGTTTTTGAAAGGATTTTTGGTGAATGCTGACTCGAGTTCTTAGGAAATCGATGTTCAAGCATTTTTATGAAGTAAAAGTTGTAATCAGGATATAATCACAATCACAATTTGTCAATGTAGATTTGTTTATGCTCGTTATATAGTACCTACAGTCATTTGGTAGTTTTACCTGGAAAGTTTTCCGGGAGTTTTGAAAATTGGTAATTTTATAAATTTTGAGGTGCCCTTTCCGAGTTTCGACTTTGCCACCTCGTATTTTTTTTTTTTGCCGCTCGCGCCGCCCTATTGGAAAAATGGCGCCTAAAAGCAGTTTTTTGACAATATCTCCTTTCCAACTCACTCTACGATAAAAACAGTAAATACAAAATGAAACTAGAGACAATTGCCTACAATCTATGTATCTTCCTTTTTTTTTCATAAAGTCAATAGTTTTGGCGTACGGGCGCCGCAAAGTGTACTCCAACGCGCGCTTTGGTCATTACTCATGATTCATGCAACCTGTGGCATTTAATTTCAACACATTATATTTGTGAGTTATAAAATTAATGTAAATCTAATAATAGTACGTGCGCACATTGGAGGCGAGGCGTAACTTTTTAAGTTTGATTTATTAAAATTAATGCTGCCGCTTTTTCTGCAGTATCTCTAGAATTAGACAACATGTCACTTTTGACAAGAATTAAATTTAATTGAGGTTTCTGGCGGTAAGCGATATCGTAACTACTTTTTTCGCTATTAATTATCATTGTAGTTTTACAATGTAAGGCAGACATTACATAAGTACATTATAGCCTAAGGACACACGAAACTTAGTATGATAAGACTCCCAGATGATATCTTAATATATATAAATTACGCGTCATGCTGTTTGTTCGGGGTGGTCTCCTAAACTACTTAACCGATTTTAATCAAATTTGCACAACGTGTGCCATTTGATCCAACTTGAAATATATGATAGCTTACATCTCCATTTATAGTCGCAATATTATTTTATTGCAAATTATTACTTTTGGGTGGTACGAATGCCGCCGAGTCAGCTAGCATAAACATATATATATATATATATATATATATATACATTAACAGGAAAACACGAAATAAAGATGCTGCAATGCAAAAAAACCGGAGCTATTATATAAATAAAACTGAAAATCCAATAAAAATACGTTTTCTATTATGACAAGACTCCTAGGTTTTGACATTGTCACCTACAATGCAAAGAGATGGCGCTGACTTGCAGCCTAAGAAATACTAGAGAAAATTGGACACGAAAATTAGGGCCGCGGTAGCATAATGATCAGTGCATCCACCAGAATAGCAAAGGGTGCAAATTCGAATCCCGTCCGCTGCCTGGCCCGCGTGGATTTTTAGATTTACACATGTAGCAGTTGAATGCTTAAAAATATAAAAAAATATATTTATTTAAGTTTTCTGATTAACCACACGACAATTTCTCTTGCACCTTCCATACCGACATACTCAAACGAGAAATTTCAAATTTAACTTTAACTAAATATTCACCCGATAAGTTATGCGGTTCAGGAATCCCAGAATTTTATTGTTAATAAAAATATCCTACGAAGCCGCTGCCATAATTTGTTAGCCAAAAAATAACTTTAGATAAATATGCATCCGATTTTCCGATCTCTAATTATAACTTAAAACTTAGGTAACATAAGAATTTTTTAACTGTCTTTAATTATGTGACCATCACTGTAAGTATTTTGTATACGAAGATGATGGTGTCGATTCTGGCATGATTCTCTAAACTTCAAACTAAATTTTACATCTGTGCGGGGCACGGTCCCCAGAAGATTGGCAGCATTGCCTCGCTGTATCGCCAAACTAATCCGTTGAGCAAAAAAGCTACCAGATCTTGGGTCCCCCACATAGCCTCGCACAGGCGAGCAGTCATATCCTTGAGAAATAATTTTACAGCAGGGCCCCAAGGACCCATTGTCTCCAGCAAAAGGCAGGAAAAATTTCATGCCCCCCACAGACGAACTCAATGAAATATTTAATTAGTAATTATTAATGTACCTTGTGAAAAATTAAAAAGTATATATATTTGACGACCTCCGTGGCCGAGTGGTTTGTACGCCGGGTTTCATGGTGTCACCGACTCGAGAGGTCCCGGGTTCGAATCCCGGTGGGGGGCAGATGTTTTGTGTGATGAATACGAGCATTTGTACTCCAATCATCGATGTTTAATATGTATTTCTTTATATATACTTATATATGTACAGTATATGTATTACTATCCGTTACCCTAGAATCCCATAACACAAGCCGTGCTTACCTTGGGGCTAGGCTAATTGGTGTGAGTGTTGGAAATATTTATTTATATACAAATTAACATCAGTCTCGGACACAACAAAATGGTCAGTCGACAAGAGTATAATTTTTGTTGTCAAATTTAAGTTTAGGATTAGAGAATCATGTCAGAATCTACACCAATATATGTACTTACCTATCGAACTCATGATGTACATGATCATCTCTTGCGGGGTGAACGAACTCCTGCATGGGGTTGAAAGTCGCATAGTGGCGGGCTCCGGGGCCGGGGAAAGATGTGCACTGCATACCTATGCAATAAAAACCGAAATATCTACTGAAAAATTTAGACCCTCTCTATGTAACAGGTTGGTCGAAATTTGAGCATTATTTTGACAACCTTTCTTAGAGATAAATCGAAATTGATGTACTGGCCACATACTTGTGAGCAGCGGCCAGCAATAGCTGTATGAAAATCCATAACTGTCGTGGTTTACCGGCCAAATAGATTACATAGTAAATTCGTATGAGTATGGTCGTGTAATTAAAAAATGGAACGATCTTTTATCCGAAGATCGCTCTAAGTTATAAGACAGCCGCTATTATTGCACTGTATTTAGCCATCATGTTATTAAAGATTGATTTCATTATTGCGATCTAAATGGCGCAAATCACGGCACAATAAAAAACTGATAGTTTTGTTTAGTAATGCGAAAAATAAAAATAAATAAAATTGTATACACACAAATTACGGAATTGAGCCGTCAGGTAGGGTTTTTAAAAACTAAACTTTAAATTATAACTTTATTTATTTAAATGTTTTACAAAATTACTTATACTAATTGATCCCGATGATCCGGTCTTACAAACTATACGTCAAGATGCTTCCACGATTGAAGCTCAAGCAACTCCCAAAAGTGTCCGAAGGTTTTACATGAACTAAATCTGTCTAATAAGCACTTTTCAACACGATTGCTCAATCGAGCCACCTGCACTTGGGAAACACATAATGTACGCGTGACGTATGAGTGACGTAGACGAGTCTTGTACTCGTAACACCTTCCCTCCTAGATGAGCAACTATTTGCGAAGATTGAAAGCAAATGTTGCGGCTTTTCTTTCTTCGGTGGATGGTGTAGAACCCGCTGATGCCATTTCCATCTCTTGAGGCTGTGTAGATTTAACTCGCTGTTGGATCTTACGCCGTCTCAGGTAGTAAGCCACACTAATGAGTGCAAGTGCACTTAACAGTATGATGACGTATGTAGGTATCGTGGTGTGATATAAGCTGGATAAATCCACAGTGTTAATTCTAACAGGTGGGTCCATGAGTAATTGATGTTGAATATTGTGTAATTTGTTCAAATCAATTGTTGTGAAATTATAATGTGGTAAGTTTTTCTTCGAATTTGCTGACATCGGAGTCGAGTGTGGGAATGTCATTATTTCAACAGGTTGCCCACGAAATTTGTCATCAGTATTAACAATTGTGAATTCTGGTGTGTGAATGCTGCAATTTCGGGGAATCGTTGCGAAGTAGCTTCCTTTTAACAGATGATATTTTTCTTGTCCGCATGATATTTTTACTTTGATTTTGTTAGGTAATGATAAAATATAATGTTGACTCTCCAGTTCTAGTAGTGCTTCCTTCAGGAGTGATATGGATGTAGGATGGCACTGTCCTGTATTCTGATGATAAATGAGATTGAAGACGCAGTCACTGCGTGTTCGGGTTTGATGGTTAAACTGCTGCTTGCATATGTAACAGGTGTCGATCTTCGGGCATTCAGCCTCCATGTACGCAAATTCCTGGGAATTGGATGCCATGTATGGGAATGGTGGAAGGATAATTTCTGAGTTTTTATTAGGAACAGGACAGAGTCTATAAAGGTCATATGTTTCTAGAGACATTATAGGAAACTTCAAGACAATTACGATTTTCTTATGAATAAAATATGATCCTAAGGTAATTAGATCGTAATAAAACCTAACATCTAAGTTTAGTAACGCATTGGGATTATATAGATTTTTAAGCTGTGTTAACATATTTTTTAAATCACTTATATATAGTATAGAATGGTGCATTACGTTTGTGCGACTAAAAGCTAAAATATTACCTAATCTACTTATTTCAGATGAGAGTTCCAGAATATTTTCCGTAAGTATGCTAAATAATTGGGAAATCTGTGTAAATTGATACATCTGTTCTTTTTCAGTTACAGATGTATTACTTATTGAAATTATTGCTTTTTCTAATTTTCTTTGATTTGAAGAGATATTATTTTAAAAAATTTGGTTCAAAGGTTTCTAATTCTAGTGAGGTTTTATTAAGTTTGCCGAATAAATGCAATATTTGATATTTAAATAGAGCAAAATGTCTATTGGATACCCTATTGGATAGATCAGTTAATTGAGTCTGTAGTGAGTCAATCTGTTGTTGGATTTCGTCAAGGTCAATTTCTTGGAGGAAGGTATGGTCATGTGATACAATTTTCGTTGAACCAAGTTTAAAGGGGAGAAGTCCAGGTCCGTTGGAGAGGTCATCAAGTCGGATCATGTTTTGTGTTAGTGGATCTGCTTGTGCATGAAAGGGTATTTAAAAGGTTTAAATTGACGTGTAGGCATTCCAGAATTGAATTGTCTCGAGGGCATAAGTGAGTCATGCGAATTAAAAGGTGAATAATTAAACGGGGCATTGTTAATCGATTTCTTAGAAATTAGCGGGTTACTGGCTTTAGATTGTAAGTATAAGACGTTTAATTCTTCCTGGGCGAAATCCAAGGTTTTTTCTAGCGAGTCGGGGCGCATGCACCTGACACGTGAGCCTAAAGGCTCGGCTAGGCCTCTGGTATATGTTTGAAGAGCTAATTTTTTTGTAAAGTTCACGTTTAGCCTCAACTGTTGTTTTAATTTGTTCGTGTAATTCTACATAAGTCATAATTATACTAAGTAAATTTTGAACTCGCTCGTAAAATATTTGCGGTGTATCGGAACCTTGAGTTAACATAGATAAATCGGTGTATAGGGCGGACTCGTCTCTGTGATCCGAAAAGCTGTTAATTAGCGCATTTCTTATGCCATTCCAGTCCTGGGGGATGCCATTTGTTGCTAATGTTTTAGCAGCAGGCCCGGTTATTTTATTTAAAATTCCATTAATTAAAGCGTAATTATTTAGTTCATTTCCCGGAGCTGGATTAACATATGTTAAAATCAGTTGGTCGCAAATGTTCAAAAATCTAATTAAAATGTTCGAATTTCCATCAAACTCAGGGACTAGTCTTAAAGATTTCCAAATCCTTTCTGTCATATCGTTTGAATAAGCTACAGATTGTTGTTCGGTCGCCATTTCCTCTTCTATGCTTTCTAATGTAGATAATTCGATTTCGCGATGAAACCTTAATTCTCTAGAATTAGGACGAATACTGCGCCGCAGATTCGGTCCTATATCTCTACTTTTCTTTGGAAAAAAAATCTTGAAAACTTTCTAAACTATTAAAAGAAAACTTAATTAATTTACTTATTAAGTCCTACGGGAGACAGGAAAGGGGCCGCTGTCAGCCAATAGGAATAACTAGCAATCTTTCTAACTATAAAAAAATTTAATTTACTTATTACGTCCTACGGGAGACAGGAAAGGGGCCGCTGTCAACCAATAGGAATATCTAGAAATCTTTCTAACTATTAAAACAAACTTATTTAATTAACTTATTACGTCCTACGGGAGACAGGAAAGGGGCCGCTGGCAACCAATAGGAATACGTAACTTATATAATATAACTCACAGGAGCAGGGTGCTTAGCTTAGTGTGGTGGTGGGCCATCGATTTTTGGATTAGCGCCGTTTTTCGAAGTTGATTCTTCTTTCCCGTCTGACGACTGCTTCGCGTAGATTCGTAGAGATAGTCGACACGCCGACGACACGACTATCAGGCTGATCGAAGTATGATGCTCGCACTGACTCGACTATCCTACCGACTGCGCCAATTACGGAATTGAGCCGTCAGGTAGGGTTTTTAAAAACTAAACTTTAAATTATAACTTTATTTATTTAAATGTTTTACAAAATTACTTATACTAATTGATCCCGATGATCCGGTCTTACAAACTATACGTCAAGATGCTTCCACGATTGAAGCTCAAGCAACTCCCAAAAGTGTCCGAAGGTTTTACATGAACTAAATCTGTCTAATAAGCACTTTTCAACACGATTGCTCAATCGAGCCACCTGCACTTGGGAAACAAATAATGTACGCGTGACGTATGAGTGACGTAGACGAGTCTTGTACTCGTAACACACATCAAAAAAGTTTAAGCAACATGCATCATTTACGCAAACTACAAGTTTTATCGCAGATATTTTATGCAGGGTGTTACAAAAATACAAATAAAGCTTGAAGGGCGATGAAGTACATCATATAAGGAGTCCTCTCTAATTTTCTTAAAATACTAGCTGTCCCAGCGAACTTCGTACCGCCATAAAAAAATAGGGGTTGGTGGTAGAAGAGTGAAAATTTAGGGTTGTATGTATTTTTGTATGATGTATCATAAAATTTAAAAAAAAATACCTAAAATTGCAAAAAAAAAATTTTGGTGTGGATTACCCTTAACATTTAGGGGGATGAAAAATAGATGTTGTCCGATTCTCAGACCTACCCAATATGCACACAAAATTTCATGAGAATCGGGAAAGCCGTTTCGGAGGAGTTTAACCACAAACACCGCGACACGAGAATTTTATATATTAGATTTGCATGAAGTTTTAACTTTTTATAAAAACAGTTAATTTTAATGATTCTCGTACTAGTGACGTGTCTTTAAATGGTCGATATATTTATTATTCATTAAAAATAACTGTTTTTATAAGTTAAAACTTCATGCATCAATTTTAAGAAAATTAGAGAAGACTCGTTATACGATGTACTTCAACGCCCTTTAAGCTTTATTTGAATTTTTTAACACCCTGTATAATAGTTATGAAATGTATAACTTATTCAAATGATTTTTTTTTACTTTAGTCATTGCTAAATCAACCTGGTTATAATTAACAAAAGATAATAAGTATTAAAAATATTTAACAAAAATTCCGATTAAAAGTTCAAAAATTGTTATGTTGCTTAGACTCTTTTGATGAGTATAATTCGAGGAGGAGCTCGATGGCGCAAGTTGTTAGCGCGTTCGGCTGCGATCGTTGAAGTTGAGCAACTTTCGCAGTGGTCAGTCATTGGATGGGTGACCAAAAATTTACTATCTCGAGCTCCTACGTGCTTCGGAAGGCACGTTAAGCCGTTAGTCCCGGCTGCATCTGCAATCGTTAGCACCCACCAATCCGCATTGGGCCCGAGTGGTGGGTCATGGCCCAATCTCCCTTCCATACAAAGGGAAGGCCTGTGCCCCAGTGGGGACATTAATAGGCTGATGATGATGAAGAATAACGTTTCTTTATACTCTGATTTCCTATTTTAATTCAGATATTCAGCAATTTTCATTCAATGTGTTTGAGATTTTGATGATTGAGTTTTTAAGTATATTTTTTTACAGCAGTGGGGACATTAATAGGCTGACAATGATGATGAATTATAAAATTAAATGCTTCTTACTGGAGTCGATCTTGAATACATCCGGGTCGATATCGTCGACGTCATAATCTTTGTAATTCAAGTAGTAGTGGTCGTAATGGGATCCGAGCAGAGAATTGAAGCCCTTCATTTCATACCTTTAAAGCAAACATACAAAAAGTCTTGAAATACACTAACTCATATATATATTTATTTATTCGGAAGCGATTACTTTGACATAATTTGAGTGGTTACCGAAACATAACATCAAAGCCGCCATAAAATATATATGAAAAAAGTATAAGTATTGAATAGCTACTGCTTTACAACATCAGAGGACCGGAATAAAGATGACATTATATGCTCTTTTGAGGACATCAAAACGACTAGGTACTTGGTTAAAATTCAAAATTCAATATCTTTTATTCAGTCTTGGCTGTTACAAGCACTTGTGAATGTCGAAAAACTACGCCATCGATTTGCAAATCTACGGCGAGAGAACTTGTACTGAGAAAAACCGGCAAGAAACTCAGCAATGGCTGATTTTTTCTCCCTGTATTATATGCAGAGTCGTTAAATTGAAAAATGACTTCAATATGAGATAACTCATGAAGTCTCACACGTTTTATGGGTTTACATGTTTAATGGGTTGGAACATATTACCGTGATTTCTTCTTGTTTTTTTATATTCTGTCTAACTGTCGCGCACATACGAAAAAATAGTTTTAAGTATCCATAACTAACTAATATTTTAAGGTTTTCAAACACATGTTTCAATGCTATGTTATTTAGCAAATAACAATCCTTATGATTAACCCTTTCGATGGTTATCATAAAATATGTCTTGTTTATTTTTCGAAATTTCACGAGTTTGATTCCCAGTTGTAGCAGGCGATTTAATAAAAAAAACTGTGAATGCAGTTCTAATTAATATTAAAAATAAAACGACGTCTTTTTTCAGAAAAATATCCTATCTTCAATATTTAATATACTTTCCCTCCGTGTGAGGTAGCCGTGGGACGCCCTGTATATGTATTTTATAAAAATATACTGTTGCTGTATATACATACAAATTTATATCATGACTAGCTGACCCAGCGAACTTCGTACCGCCATAAAAAAATAGAGGTTGATTTTAAAGGGTTGAAAATTCAGGATTATATGTATTTACTAATGCTGTATCATAAAAAAATAAAAAAAAAATTTAGGGGTGGATTACCCTTAACATTTAGGGGGATGAAAAATAGATTACATCCGATTCTCAGACCTACTGAATATGCATATAAAATTTCACGAAAATCGGTCGAGCCGTTTCGGAGGAGTTTAACCACAAACACCGCGACACGAGAATTTTATATATTAGATAGATGTTGATAATAATTTCTTACTTCACAGGAATTGGTATCGAGTCCCCGTTAAGAGTTTTCTTGTATTTCACCCACATGGTGTATTTGTTTATTTTGTCACCAATAGTCTGCACCATCCGCCATTTTGATGTGTCCGAGTCTTCCATTGTGTCTGTGCCTGTTGTCAAAAGGACGATATAATTTGTTAATTCAAAAAATTTAGCAACCCCTTGTTACGAATACCGTGATATGATATTATATCGAGTTTTTACCTCCTCTGACGAACGATATTAAATACCCTAGATACAACACGAACAAAATCGTGCCCGAAACCTGTCCAAAAGGTACATTGGACGATCTACGGAGCTCCGTAAGATGATCGTGTAGTCAAAAACAATATAAAGCATTATTTAAACATTGAAAATCCTTTAATGCATACTGTACAAGGTCCTTATTAAAACGCAACCCCTCAAAGAGTTATGAAAGTTCGAAGCGCAAGTTCATTAAATTTTACGACTTATTGCTATATACGATAGAATATAGACCTTATATCTTTGAATATACGCGCAATTCTGAATGCGCTGTTACCAATATAGCAGGTACAGACCGTGAGGAAAAATGTCGACAATATAACGGACCATGCATTTGGCTTCAAATGCGTTAAATTAACAAACATTGATTAGATACATGTCGAAAAAACGACACTTTACGTACTATAAAAAAATTCACGGAGCTCTGCGGCATCTTGACTTTTTAACGCGTGACTGTGAACCAATTAAGTGGTGTTTAAGCACTTCTTGATTGGGACACATTTTGAGCGCACGTGGTGTATCTACGGTATTTAATATCGTTACCACTGACTGTCAAACATCATGGAACTTTTAAATCTAAAGAAAAGTTTAACTACAAAAAAAATTAACGCGGACCAGGCAGCGGACGGGACTTGAACCCGCACCCTTCTCAATCCGGGCGAATGCACTGACCAATTATGCTACTACGGCCCTGATGGCCGCGTCGAAATTTTCCTAGCCTTACGCTGCAAGGCAGCGCCATCTCTTCACATTGTAGGTAACCCACAATTTCAAATGAATACCTTTTCAAGTATTAAACATTTGAAAGAAGAAATAGCAATTACAGTTGTTTTTATTTTTTTAAGCATTTAACTGCTAGATGTTTTAAATCTAAAGAAAAGTTTTACTAGAAAAAAAACCACGCGGACCAGGGAGCGGACGGGCTAAAGCTGCAGCTTAAAGCTAGGAAAATTCCGACGGGGCCATCAGGATCGTGGTAGCATAATTGGTCAGTGCATCCGTCCGGATTGCGAAGGGTGCGGGTTCGAGTCCCGTCCGGTGCAGGACCAGGGTCCGCGTGGAATTTTTCTAGTAAAACTTTTCCTTATATTTAAAACATCTAGCAGTTAAATGCTTAAAAAATAGAATATAAACATAACTATAATTGCTATTTCTTCTTTCAAATGTTATCTAAAGGACGGACATTAAAATTGATGCAGTTAAACCGAAAGCTCTATTTCTATTAAAACATTTCATTCAAATGATTATAAACTCACCAATATATTTAAAGTCATCCATATTGGGTAATACAGTCTGTATATCCATGGAATTATCAGCGCTGCCGTTCACCTGAAGACATGTCTCCTGGTTCATCACCTTCTCTGTAGTCACGGGGGCAATCTGTGAATAAAAAATATTTAAGTATTGCAATAGGGGTGATGACGGGGTACAGTAAACGAAATTCTATTTAGTCCGTCAGTTAGATGATCAAAAAATAATGGACACGTATTTTTTCTTGGAGCCATCAACCAAAAAATGAAAAAGTTATAGCGCGTCAAAGTTTGGGAGTAGGGGCTCATGACGTCACTTTTAAGTGAAAATTGTACCAAAACGTGACGTCATGCGACTTTTCAAATCAATATATCTCTGCAATGTTTATATTATGTGAAAAAAGAAAAAATACGTGTCCAATACTTGTTGATAATCTACCTGATAAACGAAGGAAAAAAATAATCATCTTCCCTACTATTGCGACTTTTATTTACTTGAGCAGTAGACGGCGTGTCTAGAGAAACATGTTTTAGAACAATTAGAGAAACAAAGTTTTGTGTGTCTAAAGAAAATTTTACTAGAAAAAAATCCGCGCGGGTCAGGCAGCAGACGGGACTCGAATGAACTTTGTGTATCTTTTGCTGGAGACCCGGCTTTAGGGAGTAATACTTTCTTAATACAGTCAAAACCGAATATAACGACATCGTTTATCACGACGTGTCGGTTATTACGACCAATTGGCAAGGTCCCGGCCGAAACCCTATATAAACCTTTAGGCGAGTCCATATAAAATGTATGAAAACTACAAGAAATATGCCGGTGGCGGCGTTTTGTGGATGTGGTCGGTGGCTCGTGTGCGGCGACACTTATTCTTACCTTAGGGCTAACCAAAAATGAACTCTTTGGGTATGTAAATAAGTCAAATTAAAATCATTTTTGTACCTCAAGCATTGACAATGTTCGTATCGCCAACGCCAAGGTTTCTATGGAAACTAAGCAGCGGACCCTCCCGGACGTTTTACAAACTAGCTTTTACCATAGAAACTTTGACGTGACGATACGAATATTTTCTCGTTAGCTGTTCGTGCTAAGGGTACTGCATCCCTAGCATGAACCATTATCGAATTCGAATAGTTTGCAAACCGAAATGTCAATGTCAAATTTTGTATGGAAACTTGAACAGCAGCGGCACAAAGTACGTAACGAGAACTAAAAATCAGTACACATTTGACAATGACATTTCGGACTCGCAAACGATACGATTTAGATATTGGTTCGTGCTAGGGGTACTGAACTTAAAAGAGATCTTCGATATTTGCCCATTTTTGTACCGTGATACAAATTCGCTCGAAAAACATCTAAAATTATTCCTATAAAACTCACTCGTCAAAATCTTAAACAAATTGAATAAAAATTGCTGAATATCTGAATTTAAATAGGGAATCAGTAGGTCGTAATTGTAATTGACTGACAGATGACAACTAATACTACTGGTTAAAAAACAATGTTTGATTGTGATTGGGTTTATCCAAAATCACGTGATTTCAATTGATGGTTTCGGCGTATTTTTCTACACATAATGCGTAATAGTACTTGAAGTACAGAATTGGGCAGAGTTGTATGGAGAAAAGACTGGATCGTTTGAAATATCTGTGGAGAATAACGGACAGAATAAACTGCACAACAAAAAACAAAAATTTCAAGGAGTTCAACGACTTATATTACCAGATTTGAAGCTATCGCACCAGAGGTCCAGGGTTCGTTTCCGTTTCACATCAATGCGGAAAACGGAATATTGTCTAATATTATCTCGAGTGTAATCATCAACGAAGACTACTTCAAAGTTTATACCTAAAACGACTTGTGTTATGAAAATCAGATTATCTTTTTAGGGTTCCGTAAAGGGGTTCCCTTTGGTTGGGGATTGGGTTTTGGCCGGGAAGGTGAGGATAGCTGGTAGGGCACTTTTTATCAGTTCGTACCCCAAAAGGAAAAAACGGAACCCTTAATAAGGACACTTTGTTGTAAGTCTGCCTGTTTATATCAAGACTGTGTATGTCAAGACCCTTTATCTCGGAAAGGCATAGACGTGTCGAGTTAAAATTGAAAACATATACTCGAGTCCACGGTCCCTTTAAGCTGTAAAAATATCAGACTCCTCAGTTAACATAAAAAAAAAGATACGAGCGTTTATGTTGCGTACCTGAAAATTTGTACGGAACCCACGGTGGGTGATTCCGACTCGCACTTGTCCTTTTTTTTACCTAGATCTAACTGACAGACCAATTGTTGTAATATAAAGCGAATAATAAAAAAAATGTAGAATAAATCAATCAAAAAAATATATTAACAAAGTAGAAGTAAATTATGAATATATAAATAACAATCAAAACGAATTGTTTTAGAATAATAAATAATTAATCGATAAAATACCGAATTATGATTATGATTTCTTAAACAACAACGCTTAATTATATCTGAGAGCCCGAAACAAAGACGGTTATTATCGCAATTTATTAAACAATACGAGATGTAAATAAGAGTTGGGGTGTATGACCTTTGTTGGCAAATACCTACTTCGGAATATGCGTTACAAGTGAATCATCTTTACTTAACAATTGGGTAATTTTTTCTACCGATTTATGAAGGTTCAATCACACTAATATTATAAAGGCGTAAGTTTGTGACTGTGCGAGTGACACACTCTTAACAAACATACACTGTTTGTTACTTCTTCACGTCAAAACGGCTTGAGCGATTTTAATAACATTTGGTAAGGAGTTAGCTGACACCCTAGATTAACACAGGCTACGTTTTACTGCGGGAAAATATCCCTAATAAACCGCGGGTAACACCGCGGGGCACAGCTAGTATGTTATATCTTGAATAAAATTAATCCTAAATTAGGAACGATTATCTAAATTGTTTGGAAGAGAGAAAAATGACGTCAACAGGAAAAGATAACGTAAAAACACGCAATCTAGAGACAATTTGTTTGCGAACTTTTTTGTCCACCAAAATAGCTTACAACTGTATCGGGTAACGCACACAAAAAGTTAAAAGTACAAAAAGTCCTCCGAACAACCGAGGACCCCGAGAGGCAGCACGAGACAAAAGCACGCGGAAGCTCCCGAAAAAAATTGTGTGCATGGGCCACACATCTAAAGTGATATTTCTTCTCTTAAATAACTTAACATTAGGCGGTGCATAAGGCATAGGGCAGTGTTTCCTAACCTTTCCAATACTGCTACCCCTGTAACCTATTAGGAAAACTGATTTTACCCCGACTTTGAAGTTTTATCGTCAGTCCAAAAAAATCCAATTTGGCCGCTACATCTTTGTCTCTAATAATGTCATCATCAGGAGAAAATCTCGCCCCGCTTTCCACACTCAGCACCCGCGGGCTCGCTAGCAAGAAGGAGCGCATGCTTTATTTAGAAGTATTATTATATAGTATTTTCTTATTATTTAGATTTGACCAAATAATTAGGTTCTTTGTTACCCCCGAAGTATGGCTGATTTACCTCCGGAGGGGTAATTACCCCCAGGTTCGGAACCCAGGGCATAGGGGAATGGAGCAGCGCACGCATCACTCATACATTATGTACAATAAGATGCATAAGTGTATCTCCATTTATACCCAAAATATGTATGAAGTGAAGAACACCTCTGCTTATCTTTTGAAGTAAAACTACTCAGACACAGAAAATCTATTAAAATTAAAATAAGAAACAGTTATGGATAGTATAAGACAAACACACACACAAACACACATACATACACACATCTACACAATGACACATACACAAACACACCACCAATATAATTTCACTCATACCTGTACGCTCACACTTAAGTGGTGTACACATTAAGCGTTTTCCAACGCGCGCTTTGCTAACGCGCGTTTCGAGAACCAGGAGTTCTATTATGTAAGTGTACACATGCAAGCGCGCGATTCTGGTCAAGCGTGCGTCAAACGCGCGTTCTCATATTTTACGTATGATCGCGCGTTGCGCGGGCGTTAGCTGCGCGTTGCGCGGGCGTTAGCTGCGCGCTTCGAGATATTTTGTTGTACATTTGATCGCGCGCTTTGGTGTAGTGTAGACGTCAGTTCAACGGAAAAATGGACACCGAACATTTTGACACAGATTTCTTTATTGATGAAATCCAAAAGCGACCAGCTATTTGGGACATGAAATGTCGCGATTATAAAAAAATAAGACGCTAAAAATACGTGAAATAAAAAAAATACGCCGTCTTTTATAGCGACGTTAGAGGAGCCACACATAAGTAATCACTTCGGCATCCATTTTCGTACTGCCAGAAACACACCCTACCAAACGCTCGCCGAACGCCCAGCCGAGCGCGGCGTGTGTATGCAATCAACGCGCGCTCAACGCAACGCCGAGCGCCCAATGTGTACCCGCCGTTAATCATTATTTGATAAATTGTTTTGTTTCGTTTAGTTAATTACTCACCTCAACAGCTGTAGTCAAGCCTATTCGCCTGCACTTAAATAAAATATATTTTTGCAATATGTCGACCGAGGAATCACTAACTACAGTTTTTACTAGTTTCTGGGTTAGGGGTCCATTTCTTCAGATTTTTATATAAATACCCGTAGACTTTATTAGCTTAATACTTTAAATGTAAAATGTTGGGGGGTTATGAATAAATGATTATTATTATTATTATGTGGCATTATGTCCGCCATTTGTTGCAAAACAATAAAGAGTAAATAAATAAATAAATATGTATATATTGTCGCGGGTGACGCTCGTAACGTTTCTGTCTTCGCCGAGTTACCTTCTAACTTTCATGTTCGTCGGGAAGAGCTGCGCACGCATCCCACACCCAAACACGTATATATTATAGTCGTCTGATGCTCGTGACGCATTTCAGTTTCAGCTTTTCTTGGTTATGTTTGAGCAAATGCTCGTAACTTGACCGAAACTTAGTTCTTGGGTGTATTCCGTAATATATACCAGTATACTGGCCCGTGCTAATGACGTCGTGAATCGACGCTATACTGGAGAATTGTTTCGAAATATACAGGCCAGTGCGCTGACGTCATAAATCGACGAAATATTCAAAATAGTGCGAATAAACAAGATTTTTTTATTCACCTCATCAATTAAAAGGAATTCTCTTTGTTCGGATGCTATTATTGTTCTTTAAATAAAAAAGAAATAAAATTTGAATGCATCTCACGCTAGCTCGGTCATACGTCATATTCGTTTTCCCGGTAAAAATATGGTAGCATACCAGTACAATATGGCGTCGGATCTGTGACGTCATTACCACTGGCCAGTATACTGATGTACATTTCGGAATACACCCCTTATTGCGGCGTTGCTCCCGGCTGTGAGCGCTGATTGGTTCGATTGTTTCATGTCGCGTCATTTGATTGGCTATTATCTATTAGGTGGGAGCGTAATGGGTAAATAATAACCCTTCTAACCTTTTTCTGTGGTTCCGTACAATGTTGTAGGTATGCAACATAAACGGCCGTACCTTCTTCTCAAGTTAACTTAGATTTTTGCTTCTTTGCCAGATTCAAGGGACCGCAGACTTGAGCATCATAAATGTTCTCAATTTTGACTCGACACCTCCACGGGTTCCGTGAGATAAAGGGTTTTGACATACAAACAGACGGACAGTCGTACAGCCGGACAACAAAGGGATCTTATAAGGGTTCCGTTTTTCCTTTTGAGGTACGAAACGCTAAAAAGTGCCCCACCAGCTATCCTCACTTTGCCGGCCAAAACCAATCCCCAACCAAAGGGTACCCTGGAAACCTAACCTCACAATAACAGAATCACAACACCATTCAAGGATGTTTTAATTTTCAGTACTGGTAAATCGTTGTTTACAAAGGCGTGCAAACTATTGGTAAAACTGTACTTCCAGGGCCTAAGAATTCGTTTTTTGTGGAAAAGGTCTCTTTAATTATTTGGTCATAACACTAACACTAACCTAACCTAGTGTGAAGTATTACCGCTTGGGCCCTGGAAGTACAGTTTAGTCAAACTATTGCCTACCAAATAGATTTATAAACACAGGCAAAACTATGATGTTTCATAGTTATATTGTTTGATGAATTTTCAAAGGCCAAAAGCATAGCCTGACCGACACAAGCAGAATGCACGTCACGCACGAATGCATAAGCGCGTGACTAGTGTGCTGTTTTTTAGAAGTCTACCAAATATTAATCTCGCAGATGTTAACGCTTTGGAACAGAATAGAATTGAAATAATGTATTTTTTTAAGATTCTCTCTCTCAAGTCTAAATGGAGGGTGACTTCATGGATCCTCTCATATTGAAGTCATTTTTCAACTTGACATAATACAGGGGAGAAAATAATTGATGTGGTTTTTTTGAAACCGCGATGCAAGTGAGACTTTTAAATCCTAACTAATACTTGTTATAAATGTGAAAGAACTATTAATAACTATTAATAATACTTGCAACCTTGCCTAAAGGGACTCCTTTTAATAATGTATTTTAGTTATTATATATAAGGTTTTTAGTTATAAATAACTTACTATTTGTTCTTTAGTTAAATGTACGTACATATATTGTGAATATTCATATTATACGAAAGTGAGTTTGTTTGTTACGCTTTCACGCCTAAACCACAAAGGAATTGGATGAAATTTGGTAAGCATATAACGATATTAATTAATAAATTACCTTAATAGAAGTGCCATATTGCGGGTAAACTTTCGAAGAGAGCTGATAAGTCTTAACCATGGTGCCATAGTAGTCAATGCGAGACTTGCCATTGCTGCTATCATACCTGTGAGTTTAAAAGAAAAAATAACAATAAATAGATATTAAAGTAAAACCCAAAAATTAATAACCAAAGCACATATAGTATCGACATTTCAAACAACAAAAATTACGGTAGTATAACCTCAGATTCGATTTCTACTTATAATCACTCTAATATTATATAGGCGAAAGTTTGTGAGTATGTTTGTTACTTCTTCAGGTCTAAACGGCTGGAGCGATTTTAATAAATTTGGTATGGAGTTAGCGGACTTCCTGAATTAACATATAGGCTACCTTTTACTGCGGGAAAATATCCCTAATAAACGGCGGATATCACCGCAGGGCACAGCTAGTAAAATATATCTTAAGAATTTTTTACTAGAAAAACACTCAGACATTTTTTTCTTAACAATAATAAAAATCGAACTATCCTTCAGAGGCCCAAGCACGAACTTGGACAGTCCGTAATCGTATCGTCATCGACAAATTTTGTATGGAAGGAGCCAGTTTGATCTTACGTCCGGTAGGGGCGCTGCTAAGTTTTCATAGAAATTTTGATGAATCGATACAATTACGCAGCTGTCGAAATTCGTGCTTGGGCCCCAGTAATATTCTAAAAGATTGTGAATAGACAGAAATACTGCAATAACAACACTCAGATTTTCGTTAAGTTTGCCTAAAATAATTCCGATATAATAATGTACATATACTAATAAAATTACATACATACACAATCACATATCAAACCAAACAAGCTTTATTTACACATACATAATTAAGTAGGTAGGACCTTAAATATGATATAGTAACAGGATAAATATATTGACATGAGGATAATAAACTTGATAAAATCACGTACACGCTAAGAGTAATCAAATTAAATAACAATGTATTAAAATTAAAAATATATTACTTTTGTCCTCTACAATTTAATAATGACGATAAGTACATCAGTTACCAATTTTAAGACAGTCTTAGAATCGACACCCTGAATTGTCGTGAAATAAAGGATCCCCTACCCATAGAAAAGTTGACGATGGCTATTGATTATGGCTCGTATTATAGAAAGATTCCCAGTGATTGATCTAGTCTTGAGCATAGTTAAAAAGGAATGTCGCTATATATAGCACATAGCGATATCCCTTTCTAACTGTACTCAAGTAAAGATTCAAGTAAAGAAGTTGTCATTCTGTAATACGGGCCTAATCTGTCCAAGTTCATGCTTACGTATAATAAGGCCAAGAACTCACGAAGCGATTTTCACCCGCGCCCGCCGCGGCTGCAGGACCGCAACTTGCGTAGAATGTGAAATTGTACGTAAAAAAAATTACAAACTCTGTACATAAAATTGGTCTGCAGCCTCCCAGCAGATTCGGTCATGGTATGACCAACCAAGCCCGCCCAGGGCCGTTAGGTGGGTGCTAACGATTTTCGGTTCGAAGTACCGGTATACCAGGGGTTCCTGGAGACCGGTGGCCACGTCCGGAGGCATGGGTCTGGTAGACTTCGCTGCAACTCGGAGACGACCGATCCATCGTATCAACATCTCTAAGAAATCGGAAATGCTGTTGAGTTGTAACAGACTTTTGACAGCTGCTACGGTTCCAATATTGACCGCAGAGCATTGTCGAGCCCGCTTGCAGTTTGCCCGCGACCACGTCAATTGGACCCTTGACCAATGGAGAGTTCCTGGATGTTTTGGGGTGGCAAGTCGGCCGATGACAAAACCGACCTTGTAAGCATCTCCCGGACTAGAGGTGCTCGCGGGTAAGGATCGCTGACAGCTTACCGGTACGTCACAAAGATCCTGGAAAAGTATGTGGTCCCCTATGCCGGTTTTGTTGGCGAGGGGTTCACACTAACGCACAATAACGCTCGCGCTTACACTGCATTAATTGTGCGCGACTACCATCAAGAGGTTGGGATCTCTGTCCTGCAGTGGCCAGCGAGAAGTCCAGACCTGAACCTGATAGAGCACCACTAGGATCATTTGAAACGCAAGATTCGGTCTCGTGATCCCGCTCCCACGACTCTCCCTCAAGAAGAGCTCCAGAAATTGTACCAAATCTCCAAAGAATTGATAACTTTGGTAAAAGCTGTGTTCCTTTCGTACGGATAGCTTTCATTTTCACCAAATTATTATAAGCGGTACGAAGTTCGCCGGGTCAGCCAATAATAAATAAATATTTCTAACAGACACACACCAATAAACCAAGCCCCAAAGTAAGCTATATAAGTATCTAGAGATATATAAACACAGGACTTAGATACAAATGCCCGATGCGTATTCATCATACTAATATTAGCCCCACTGGGCCCGGCGGCGTACATACAATTCGGTTACAAAGGTCGTATTATTATAGATTAATAGTCTCTACATTATGTATGTCAATAATAAATAATCACACATGTATAACGTACTTTAAAATAATGTATAAACTCAGCAGCAATCTTTTGTGAAGACCCACAGGTTCAATTTACTTTGTTAATCACTTAAGTTCTAAATGCAACAGATAGAAGGTTATCTATTCGCCAAGTTACTGTAAGTTCAATGCAATTTCTATTACAATAATGATAACAATCAATAAATTAGTTTGCAATTACATGTAATACAACTTTTACATAGAATATTCTAGGCTTGAAGAGGACATCGACGAAATTATATATCGAATATCTTTCACTATTATTTTTGTACATTATTAGCAATTAATCATTGTATACAAAATGTCCGTATGTGATCAAAAATTAAAAATTCTGTATCTACTTCATATTTTGCTGTCAAGTCATCCTAATCCTGTAGTGTTTGTCTTTGTTTTATTTTTCTTTAAGGTAACCATTAATCAGTTTACAAGCGGTAATCAAAGTCATTCGAATCAAAATGGCATTACACAAGTCGCGGCATGTATCATTAGCGGTGAGTGAAATTGGCGCATGTTTGCAGTAGCCCTACACTACGTCTCCCGCCAATGAGATTAAAAAAAAGATTTTTAAATAAAAGTGTTCTTTTACAATTCAATTTTATTCCAACCATTTTGTAATACTTATATAGCCTTAATAACTGCAATATACGCGACCATAGGTATTTATCAACAAAAGAATAGACCTAAGTGCCTACCCTCATTTGTTAATAATTCTAATAATACTTATCACTAGTATCTATATTACATTTATATAGGTAGATAATTTCTGAAATTATGTATAGAAAGTTTATACTCCCATTCCGTTTAACATCTGTTTATTATTATGAAAATCATGATGATAACCAGATACATATGTAATTACCAACAATAAAATAGACAGGGTGTTACAAAAACACAAATAAAGCTTGAAGGGCGTTGAAGTAAATCATATAAGGAGTTTTCTCTAATTTTCTTAAAATATTTGCATGAAGTTAAGACACAGCACTAGTTCGAGGATCATTAAAAGCTTTATTTGTATTTTTGTAACACCTGTAGAAACAGGTAAATGGAAAGACTTTAATTTTCATTTTAAATAAATTTTCATTTGAAAAGAAACCTATTATTAAACAGGTAGGTATAGGTATCTTATTTGCCAACTGCCAACACTCATAAATCAATATTAATATGAGCATTTATAACTTTTAGTTATTTTTACATTTTATGTTCATTTAATATACAGTAAATTCCTAAGTAAATTTGCCTAAAGATAAGGAAACTATTTCAATATGCACAAATATTTCAATTTGGTATGTATGGATTTCCAACTTGGAAAATAACAAGTGTTTAATAAAATGGTTCTATGTGTAGGGAATAGCAGAGTAGTTCAAAGTTCTATAACTCTTAATAACTTTAAAAAAGTTCAATAACAATAATATGTACATGCATGATTACATTCTCACAAGAGAGACGTCTTATGTATGTTTTTAACTTATCAAGTGTCAGCAAGGGTTATTGTATTGATAAACCATAAATACGCAAGCACAATCAGTTGATACATTGGTTCGTTCTCGTAGATTAATAAATATAGTCTTTAAGAAATTTATACATAAAAGCAACTTTTCATTGGAAGGAAGACAGGGTAGGGTATTGTGGTTTAGTAGTTGGTGCTTAATTTTACAAAACATGCTTCTCAGTATTAAGTACAAATAGATAGAAGGATTATATATCTTTCATATACATGTATGCAAATATGGGACATTATCATTAAGAAAGGTAGGGCATAGCAGATTTTCTGCTCGAATTGGAGCATCCGTTTGGGGAAGTAACCTCCATCTTATGGTAGATAATAATGCTACATTTTGGTGGTGTTGTATTTCTGTTAGTAAGTAAGGTTCCATCCAAGGCTTCATGGGATAAGGGACTGGGTCGGAGTAAACAACGGGGTCAGTGATATTTTTTGTATCAGAATCGTCTATAGGCTATGGCGGTGGCTTACCTTCAGGCGGGCCATCTGTTTGTTTGCCAACACAGTAACGTAAAATAACCACCATCTTTGGATGAGAGTAATTTATACTGTATTTTGCCAATAAAGCAGCAATATAATTTTGCTTATTACAAGTTAACTTCTATAAGGAAATATTATTAAAAGTATTTCTTACCATGCATAGAATGGTTCATGAATCTCTGCATATGGTATGTTCAACAGGCCTTTCACTGTATACACTGGGCTCCATTTTGGTGGTGAATCTGAAAGTGAAGTGAGTGCTAGTATTTTTACTTCGCTTCAGATACCTAACAGAAAAAAGCACAAAAATGTTGTATACTTTATTAAATGGTTGCTTTGCCCAGATTACACCTTAGTAATAGATTTTAGCTTACAGAACTAATAATAACTAAGCTTTTTTAAGCTTGAGACAAATACAAAAATAGAGTTTTAATAAACATGTAGGTATGTCAGTAAAACTTTTTAACTTTTAAATGTTTTAGTTGTTCTCATGAAAAGTATTAACAGAAAAAAAATAAAAATATTTTAGTTGTTTATTCTTATATGTATACTTGAACAATATAATTGATCTGTAATCAGTTGGGCTAAACTTGTATAAAAAGTGCTTACCTTTATCCACATAACCAAAAGCTAAGCCTAAGCTAAGACAGAAGACTAGAGAGACCAACATCTCTGTAGCACAACCTCTCCCAATCGCCCTAATAAGTGGAATGAAGAGAAAATCAGTTATTATTATACACCAAAGAGGAATAGGTATTATTATCACAATATTCATTCAATGGGTACCTACTAAAATCACTGCACTTATTGGTTCAGATAGTAGATTCATATAATTAAATATAAATACTATTGCAACGAATATTATTATGAAATGCAAGGTCCTTTTTTAACATTATCAAGACAAACAAGGTATTTCCAATTCTACATCTTCGAAGCAGGTAGTTTTCTTATAAATATTGTGCGTTTTGTCTAACTTATTCAATAAATGCCCAGGTTATTTTGAAAGGAATAAGTAAAAACTTTAGTTATTAAAATACATTCTTAATTGGCTTGGTTAAAAATAAAAACAATATATTTCCAAAAATGATAATAAATTTAACATTATTTAATCATAAAAAAATACCTCTTTAATACAGAGTCCAGCCAGGCTGTTTCTACTATTTTTCAAGAATTCCAACTTTTCTTTTCCTCTGCAAATTGTAAAATTTCGCTTGATTTTAACACTCGCATTCAACAATTCGGCTGGAGACTCGAAAACTGTTTCCAACTTTTCTCTATGACTGATTAACTGACTGAAGTGATCAGTGTGACCAAAAATATATTTAAATATACCGACTTGCACAGAGAAAATTTACCAATAAAAATACAGATTTTCAAAACAAGTTTAATTCATTCATCAACACATTTTTGTTTATAAATCTGTATCTACATACTCTATTTATTAAATTTGTCTGTGAAAATATGAGCTGGCATGCCACATTCAATACTGGTAAGCATTTTAACAGAGATTTACTGAAACTAGTCATATTTTTCTATTTAACTATATTACGCGTTATTATTATTATAATTAAAAATAATTATTTTATTTTATTTATTGTAGACGTCCATCCTGGCTCTCATGACAATGTGTCTCGTGTTGCTGTTAAAAGGACGGTGAATGGTGTCGTGACACGTAGCTGCAGCAAGATCGTCCCGTTGATGATGTCATAAGACATTTTGGTTGAAGGTAAAGTCTTCAACCCCGCGCGTTGATGGTTGTAGGTGTGTTTATGAAGATTCGTAAAAGTGAAACGAAACGTCGCTCGCAATGTAACATTGTGTAGGTACTCTCTTTTAAATTATAACAATAACTCCTTTTCTTATAAGTCTTTGAAGCAAGTACACGCATTTCAGAGAATAAAATTGATTTTTTTATTGACTTTATAATTCCCGCGCCCCTGCATGGTCCTTCGAGCCGGATAATATATATACTTTATATCCTACTTTATATTTCAAATGTGAAAGTTTGTATATTTGTTACTAAATAACGCCAAAACTACTAAAAGAATTTGGATGAACTTTGGTACTCATATAGATTTTGACCTGGATTTATACATAGGATACCTTTTATAACTGAAAAAAAATTATTTTCGTGGATTTAAAAAATAATAATAAAGTTAACGCTGACGACGGGCAACCGTTAGTTAACTATAATATTATTTATTTAAGACAAAGAAAAACACGCGCTCTTTTTATATGACAACTAAAAAACGAACTAATCTGGGAAAATTCCTGAATTCCTTAAAATATTACGCCAACAGAACTGCAGAACAGATTTTCATTTAAGTCGTCTTGGCTCTTAAATGATTTGCCTGTCATGTCCGACCTGTAACTTGCTGACTACTAGTCCTAAATAAATTAAAGACTTAATCCGGGAAATCAACAGAACCGTAATATTCGCAGGACGATCGCTACGGGTGCTGCCATAACTTTTTATCCAAAATATACTTGAAAATACTGACCTCTGCCAATATACCTACAAAAATACTGGCTGAAAAAGTATTAAAATAATAAATCTGGTCACACTGAAAGTAACCGAATGTCAGTGGGCTGTCACTAAAAGCGCCTACTGACATGCCTGCCGCAGGGACAATCTAGGGTGTAAGAGTGGGGATGACCCTGAATTGCCTCCTGAATTGTGATGTGTTTAGGCAAGTTGGGGCAATTTTCTAAATCGGGCCTGCGGCAGGGTGGCAGGAGCGCGCGACAACCCTTGCTCCCTAGATTGTCCCAAGCGCCCTGCACGTTGCTGCGTGTGTAGCACGATTGAGGCAATTTCTCAATCAGTCGGTTAGTAGCTGTCACACGCTGCGCACGTATTTTGATCAAGATGGCGGCAGATCATAATGAGCAAGAAGTTTGGACACGAGTGATCGAAGTATATAAAGACCGATCCCACATGTGGGATAAGAAAACAAACAATATTTATATATTTTTTTAATTAATTTTCATTTTTTAAGTATGTGACTGCTCGATATTTAATTATAATTAAAAAAAAACAATTTCTACTTTTCTAGAAAATATTACTAGAAAAATAGAAATGGTTTTTTTTTAATTTTTTCTTGTAATATTTTTTACACATAACATTGAGCAGTTACATGTTTTTAATATTAAAATTATGACTTTAATTGCTATTTCTTCTTTTAAATGTTTAATACTTGTAAAGGTATTCATTTCACATTGTGGGTTACATATAATGCGAAGAGATGGCGCTGCCTTGCAGCTTTAGAAAGGCCAGAAAGAATTCGATTCGGCCATCAGGGCCGCGGTAGCATAATTAATCAGTGCATTCGCCCGGATAGCGAAGAGTGCGGGTTCGAGTCCCGTCTGCTGCCCGGTCCGCGTGGATTTTTTTCTAATAACATAAACATTACTATTTACAATACATTTCTTTCTGTTGCCAATTCTTCACCCAGTATTTCCTTTTTACGGTGACATATTTTTTGATAACACCGGGACCATCATCAACGCGTGTGTTTTGCTCAACATACGCCCGAACACTGAATAGCAGGCATGTGCATGTGTGTAGAGACAAGCCGATATTGCCCCGACCGCCGTGCACCCTAGATTGTCCCTGCGGCAGGCATGTCAGAAGGCGCTTTAAAGTTACTATTGTAGGAAACGAAAATAGCGCCTTTACACAATGCTGCCCCAAGGCTACAACGTTGAATATCGATATATTTAAAAACACAAGTATTCGATAAAAGTGATTTTCGACATTGAGATTTTTCTTACATTGTTGGGGTATCACACAATACATATCATGTTTTAAATGCAAAAGTTTGTGTGTGTTTATTACCTCTCCTGTTTAACGGCTGGAAGGATTTGAAAGAATAGTTACCTATTTTATTTACCATGCCACGTGAATACAAATAAATATAATAAAGTCCTTCTATAAACAAATTACACGCAGATGAAATCGTAGGTCAGCAGCAGCTATTTATAAATAGACATACTAAAAAAATAAGACTACTGCCAATAAAAACATGAACAAAAAAGTAAAAAATAAGTACTATTTTTCGAATAGGTCGGAATGTTGGTATATTTTTTTAAATGCCATTGGAGTTCTTTTCAATGCCGTCGGGGCAAAATTTTGTAAAGAGAAGATGTCCATCTACTCTTTACAAAAAAATCCAAAGAAAACTGGAGAATAGGCTGTATGGGCATTGTTCCCTTTGCCTTACTTAAAAAGGAAGAATCTTATAAAAAAAATAAAAAAATATTTACATTGTGTGTTTACCTTGGTGTTTTGAGTGTTGTGTTTTAAACATGATCACTCTGTTAATAATTGTAAATATGTTCTAAATCTAGATAAAACAAACATATATCAATGATCCGAACTAACAACAATTACAATACTTACTTCTGACTAAGAGAAGAATACATAAAAAAGATTTTAACCAAAATATAAGCAGTTTAATTAAGCATAAAAATGAGTAGAAAACCTATTTCATTTGGCAAAATCACGCTCAATTTTCAGAAAGAATCCAATGAGCCCACTTCATCATCAGAAGGATTTGGCACATTCGGTCGCACTGGCACTCCCATTCAAGAACAGAAAGAAATTGAAGAGATCGCCGAAGATCTAGAAAATCAACATGTTCAACAAGTCATGGGTATTAAAAACTTCGGAAAGAAAGCAAAAAATTTTGACCTGGAAGCTATGGTCAATGAAGCCAGGAAAAATGCACAAGAAGCCAATAAAAAGAGGTTAGAAGAGGAAGCTGCGAAGCAATCAGAAACACAAGATGACGAAGATGATGATGAAGATGTAATAGGACCCTTACCTCCACCAAGTAAAGATCAAGAAGAAGAAATAGGTCCCTCCTGCCCAACAAAACTGTCAGGAAATAGTAAGGTTGATAAATCAAAGGAGTCCAAAAGTGATACAGATGAAGATAGTTATGATGAACTAAGTGGATCAGATGATGAGGAACTGACATTGGAAAAAAGAATACCAAATACACATGAGGTAATTTTATTTTTATAAATTAAAATAATAATTTGTAAAAAAAAACTTATGAATTTGAATTTCATAAAACCTTCTATCCCAAAATATCATATTTTAATTTGGTAAGTTTACTTTGGGTGTATAAACATAAAATGCAGATTCAAACAATCAGACTTTTAGAACTGGCATTAATAAAATTGTGATTGACTTTTCCCTGGTTGTAAGTACCCCATTATGTGCAGTTTTTTATTATAGATTTTTACTAAAAAAGCAGATTTGTAAGTTTGCCGTAGATGTGACGATATATTTAAAGAAATTGGTTTGAAAAATTAAACTAAAAATAATGTTAATACAGATAACGGTTTGCTACTTATTAAGCCAGGGAAAATAAATTGCCTCTACTGGTTATTTTCCCTGACAATAAGCTTTATTTTAGTAGAAGATTTTTTGTAACAACAAATCTCTAAATATTTTATTGTAGTTGTAATTTTATTCTTTTATGTATTTGTGTGTGTGTCTTCCATTACAATGTATAATAATATGGACACAAAAGTGAAATGAATAAGATATCCACATACAGTAAATTAAAGGTTATTTATTTAAAAGAAATTTCTGTCAAGTCATTAACACCTTATAGCTAAAGTTAGAGATTAGTAAAACTTAATAATAATATAAGAAATCTTTCATCTTGTTAACAGGTTCAAATGCAGCATGGCACTAAGGCTGTTGTGGCTCTCTCAGTGGATCCGTCTGGGGCACGGTTGGCAACTGGGTCTATTGACTATGAAGTTTCATTTTGGGATTTTGCTGGTAATAAACTGTTTAGAATAATATGTAAGGTATATTACCCTAGCGTAACAATTTCATAAGTCCATATCCTAAGGTATATAGTATTTTGTTGCTAATTTGTTGCTATTTTGTGCCGCAAGAATTGATTTTGTTGCTCCATGATTTCTCGGAAAAACGCCAGTTACGCTAGCGAAACCACAGCAATAACTCGGAGGCAAAAGCAGTTATAGAGATCAGATGAACGGCACATTTTGTTGCTATTTTGTTGCTGTAAGATAAGCTGGTTAGATATGGAAAAATTCTCCCCCTTCATGGGGGGCTAACTACCCTTATTCTTAGATATTTCAGATTTTTCGTATCTCGTGAACTAAAGCAGCTAGCGGCACGAGACAAACGGCGTATTTTGTTACTATTTTGTTGCTGTAAGATAAGCTGGTTAGATATGGAAAAATCCCCCCCCTACATGGGGGGCTAACTACCCTTATTCTTAGATATTTCAGATTTTTCGTATCTTGTGAACTAAAGCAGCTAGCGGCACGAGACAAACGGCGTATTTTGTTGCTATAAGGTAGGCATGCTGCGTACATCATAATCACAACCCTTATCGGGGTATGACCAACCCCCGACCTCAAGACACCAGATAATTCGTATCTCGTGAGCTAAAGCAGCTAGCGACCCGAACTCAACGGCGTATTTTGTTGCTATTAGATAGGCATGCTGCGTACATCATAATCACAACCCTTATCGGGGTATGATCAACCCCCGACCCCGAAGACACCAGATATTTCGTATCTCGTAAACTAAAGCAGCTAGCGGCACGAGACAAACGGCGTATTTTGTTGCTATTTTGTAGCTATAAGATAGGCATGCTGCGTACATCATAATCACAACCCTTATCGGGGTATGACCAACCCCCGACCTTAAGACACCAGATAATTCGTATCTCGTGAGCTAAAGCAGCTAGCGACCCGAACCCAACGGCGTATTTTGTTGCTATTAGATAGGCATGCTGCGTACATCATAAGCACAACCCTTATCGGGGTATGATCAACCCCCGACCCCGAAGACACCAGATATTTCGTATCTCGTAAACTAAAGCAGCTAGCGGCACGAGACAAACGGCGTATTTTGTTGCTATTTTGTAGCTATAAGATAGGCATGCTGCGTACATCATAATCACAACCCTTATCGGGGTATGACCAACCCGCGACCCCAAGACACCAGATATTTCGTATCTCTTGAGCTAAAGCAGCTAGCGACCTGAGACCAACGGCGTATTTTGTTGCTATTTTGTAGCTATAAGATAGGCATGCTGCGTACATCATAATCACAACCCTTATCGGGGTATGACCAACCCCCAACCCCGAAGACACCAGAAATTTCGTATATCGTCAGGTAAAGCAGCTAGCGACCCGAGACCAACGGCGTATTTTGTTGCTTTAAGATAGGCATGCTGCGTACATCATAATCACAACCCTTATCGGGGTATGACCAACCCCCGACCCCAAGACACCAGATGATACGCAGCATGCCTATCTTATAGCTACAAAATAGCAACAAAATACGCCGTTGGTCTCGGGTCGCTAGCTGCTTTAGCTCAAGAGATACGAAATATCTGGTGTCTTGGAGTCGGGGGTTGGTCATACCCCGATAAGGGTTGTGATTATGATGTACGCAGCATGCCTATCTTATAGCTACAAAATAGCAACAAAATACGCCGTTGGTCTCGGGTCGCTAGCTGCTTTAGCTCAAGAGATACGAAATATCTGGTGTCTTGGAGTCGGGGGTTGGTCATACCCCGATAAGGATTGTGATTATGATGTACGCAGCATGCCTATCTTATAACTACAAAATAGCAACAAAATACGCCGTTTGTCTCGTGCCGCTAGCTGCTTTAGTTTACGAGATACGAAATATCTGGTGTCTTCGGGGTCGGGGGTTGATCATACCCCGATAAGGGTTGTGCTTATGATGTACGCAGCATGCCTATCTAATAGCAACAAAATACGCCGTTGGGTTCGGGTCGCTAGCTGCTTTTGCTCACGAGATACGAATTATCTGGTGTCTTGGGGTCGGGGGTTGGTCATACCCCGATAAGGGTTGTGATTATGATGTACGCAGCATGCCTATCTTAAAGCAACAAAATACGCCGTTGGTGTCGGGTCGCTAGCTGCTTTACCTGACGAGATACGAAATATCTGGTGTCTTCGGGTTGGTCATACCCCGATAAGGGTTGTGATTATGATGTATGCAGCATGCCTATCTTATAGCTACAAAATAACAACAAAATACGCCGTTGGTCTTGGGTCGCTAGCTGCTTTAGCTCAAGAGATACGAAATATCTGGTGTCTATGGGTCGGGGGTTGGTCATACCCCGATAAGGGTTGTGATTATGATGTACGCATCATGCCTACCTTAAAGCAACAAAATACGCCGTTTGTCTCGTGCCGCTAGCTGCTTTAGCTCAAGAGATACGAAATATCTGGTGTCTTGGAGTCGGGGGTTGGTCATACCCCGATAAGGGTTGTGATTATGATGTACGCAGCATGCCTATTTTAAAGCAACAAAATACGCCATTGGTCTCGGGTCGCTAGCTGCTTTAGCTCACGAGATACGAAATATCTGGTGTCTTGGGGTCGGGGGTTGGTCATACCCCGATAAGGGTTGTGATTATGATGTACGCAGCATGCCTATCTTAAAGCAACAAAATACGCCGTTGGTGTCGGGTCGCTAGCTGCTTTACCTGACGAGATACGAAATATCTGGTGTCTTCGGGGTCGGGGGTTGGTCATACCCCGATAAGGGTTGTGATTATGATGTATGCAGCATGCCTATCTTATAGCTACAAAATAGCAACAAAATACGCCGTTGGTCTCGGGTCGCTAGCTGCTTTAGCTCAAGAGATAAGAAATATCTGGTGTCTTGGGGTCGGGGGTTGGTCATACCCCGATAAGGGTTGTGATTATGATGTACGCAGCATGCCTACCTTAAAGCAACAAAATACGCCGTTTGTCTCGTGCCGCTAGTTGCTTTAGTTCACGAGATACGAAAAATCTGAAATATCTATGAATTAGGGTAGTTAGCCCCCCATGAAGGGGGGGGGGGAATTTTTTCATATCTAACCAGCTTATCTTACAGCAACAAAGTAGCAACAAAATATGCCGTTCATCTGATCTCTCTAACTGCTTTTGCCTCCGAGTTATCGCTGTGGTTTCGCTAGCGTAATATTACGCGTAACTGGCGTTTTTCCGAGAAATCATGGAGCAACAAAATCAATTCTTGCGGCACAAAATAGCAACAAATTAGCAACAAAATACTATATACCTTAGGATATGGACTTATGAAATTGTTACGCTAGGGTAATATACCTTAATATGTATATAGTACAACAGTTTTATTCTTATTTGGGGGCAATGGCAACTGCTGGAATTAACTGACGAGGTTGGCAACTTATATGGCACTAATACTATAAATTAAAAACAAACACCCTTCACTCCTAAACTGCTGAAATAATTTTGATGAAAGGTTGGTATAAGAGGCATAAAAAGAACAACATAAGCAACTTTTTGTTAAAAAAAATGAGGGGAAATAGGTAATGAAACTTTGCATTGAATACCAATAATTTTATGCAGATGTATGCACCAAATCATTTATCAACTTTACTGTGTACTAAAAATTTATTGTTGTTAAAGCCATAAGAACTGCCAAATGAGTATGTCATGAAATGATTTGATGAAACAAATTTTCAAAAATCCTAAGGATTTGCAAAAAAACCCATATTTTACTAATAATAAATAAATATTGCCAACACACACAAGGGCTATGACATTGCTCATTGCGTTTAACAAAATTTTATTCTGGCACTTGGCCGGCCACTGCCTTAGCACGCTCGCTACGCTCATGGTCTCGACATTAACCTAACCTAGTGGAAACCAAAGAATATTTATATTTAGTTAACAAGTATTTTCGAATCTTATTGTGGTGACTCGCGCTTTCGTATAAACCCCATCTTTTTTCAGTGAGATTGAGAAATGTTATCGTCATAATCAAGAATCTGCATTTTCTCAAAAACCTAGGCAAAAATTTGATGTATTACATCATCCTACGACGTGTATAAAACATTAACTCAGGCCTACCGCGTTAGTGTGTGCTAGGAACTGCACATTAACGCAGCATTAACGCTAGACATTCACGACGAGTCCACCAGTTTAAAGTCGCTCAGAGAGCTATGGAAAGGGCTATGCTCGGAGTATCCCTGAAGGACCGCATCAGAAATCATGTAATCCGACAGAGAACCAAAGCCACCGGACATAGCCCACCGAATTAGCAAACTGAAGTGGCAGTGGGCTGGTCACATTAGCCGCAGAACTGAAGGACGTTGGAGCCGGAAAGTTCTTGAGAGGAGACCGCGACTCGGTAAACGTAGTGTAGGACGCCCTGAGACAAGATGGGATGATGATATTCGTAGGCTGACTGGAGTGGGCTGGATGAGAGTAGCACAAAATCGGGAGCAGTGGCGTGCATTAGGGGAGACCTATGTCCAGCAGTGCACGAACATGGGTTGATGATGAACGCTAGACATAATAATAATAATAAAGCTTTAATAAAAGCTACCAGATTTTAAACAATGATTAAGAATTTGAAAATTTTAATCATGAAGGTAGCGTGTCTGTAACACAAGGCCTCCCCCAGCCTCTACAGGATGTCTAGTTGATGTTTTAAGAAATGCTGTTTCTAATATTCTCTACTCAGATCTGTTACACTAGACATAGTTACTTTTTTTTTATTCCTATCATCTTCAACGCAAAACCAAATATGCTACCTACAATCAGACTGGTTTTTTTCAGTTGTTTGTATTGTCCCACAGGTATGGACGCTTCATTGCGTTCATTCCGCACTTTGCAGCCATGCGAGAACCATCCAATAAAGACGCTTCAGTACTCCACGACCGGAGACTCCATTCTTGTAGTCAGCGGCTCAGCACAGGCTAAAGTACTGGATAGGGACGGGTTCGAAGTCCTGGAGTGCGTGAAGGGCGATCAGTACATTGCTGATATGGCTAAGTAAGTTTATTTACATAATTATAATTGCATGTTTAAATCTGAGTAAAGTTTTACTAGAAATAATTCCACGCGGACCAGACAGCAGATGGGATTCGAACCCGCACCCTCCGCTATCCAGCCGATATCGGGTAGCGTAAGTTGCAGGTTCGAGTTCTGGCTGCTGCCTGGAGCGCGTGGATTTTTTCTAGTAAAACTTTCCTTATGTTTAAACATCTAGCAGTTATATGCTTATTATTGTAATCGTATGTGTTGAAATTGGTATAGCTATTATTAATACTTCATCATCAGCCTATTACTGCCCCCACTGCTGGGGCACAGGCCTTCCCTGTGGATGGAATAGGAAGATTGGGCCATGAGTGCGTGCATGCGTGGTGGGTACCACGCGGGCCCAGTGCGGATTGGTGAGTGCAAACGACTGCAGATGCAGCCGACGGCTTAACGTGCCTTCCGAAGCACGAATAATACTAATACTTAAACCTCAGTAATTCAGACAGCATATTTACCATACATAGAATTTGATCAGCTGTGTGATTAAAATGTTAAAGATGAATCATTTATTTTAATTTATACTTAGCTTACCTTTTTTCAATTCCAATTTTCAAGTCTGCAGTATAAGTTAAGTTTTGTGTACTAATTTTATCAATTAAGATCTCCGACTTGAAACATTAAAATACCTTATATTCTCCAGGACCAAAGGTCACACTGCATCTCTGAACAGTGGTTGTTGGCACCCCCATATCAGGGAAGAGTTCATGACTTGCGCACAAGACGGTACCATGCGCTTATGGCTCACAGACAACCCAAAGCAGCACAAAGCGGTGATAAAACCCCGTCAACATGGGGGTTTGAAGACCAACCCAACCGCCTGTGCTTTCTCAAGAGACGGCAACACAGTAGCCTGCGGATGCTTCGACGGCTCCATTCAAATGTGGGACCATAGAAAAAACTATGTGAACACATCAGCCATATTGAGAGACGCTCATCAGAAACAGACGGAAATCTGCAGCATAGCATACTCCTATCTGGGATCGTATTTAGCCAGCAGAGGCAACGATGACACCCTCAAACTTTGGGACCTGAGAAGCTTCAAGAAACCGGTCCATGTTTTCAGCAATCTGTTCTCGAGATACGAGCAGACAGACTGCTCTTTCAGTCCTGATGATACGATGGTTTTCACAGGAGTATCGCTAGAAAGAGGAGAGGAGATTGGACGGCTACTGTTCTATAATACGAAGACGTTTGAAACGGTAACACAGTTAGAAGTGGCTAAATCTCATGTGATAAAAGCTGTGTGGCACGCGAAGTTGAATCAGATGTTTGTTGGCTGCGGGAATGGTGTAGTGAAATGTTACTATGATCAGAAGAGAAGCTTGAGGGGTGCTAAATTGTGCGTGGTGAAAACACATAGGAAGAAGCACTCAGTGGAAGTTATGAGTTCGCAACAGATCATAACGCCGCACGCTTTACCTTTGTTCAGACAAGAGAAATTGAGAACTAGCAAGAAGAAAATGGAGAAAGACAGACTGGATCCCCTCAAGTCTAGGAGACCAGATTTGCCTATCACTTCGGGGCAAGGCGGAAGAGTTGCGGCATCAGGAAGCACATTGAGCTCTTTCGTCATCAGAAACTTGGGGCTCAGCAAGAGGGTGGATGACGAACAGGACCCGAGAGAGGCCATCTTGAAGTACGCGAAGGATGCGGAAGAGAATCCATTCTGGGTGGCGCCGGCTTATAAGAAGACGCAACCCAAACCGATATTTATCAACGATGAGGCCGAAGAGGGGCCTTCTGACGCTAAGAAACAAAAAACTGAATGAATTGTACTTTTCATGTATAGTACTTATATTAATTTATTGTATAAATGGTGTACAGATCACCTGAGCTGTTTTAATATTTGTTGTCGTCCTATTATATTCTGTCAACAAGGAAACGCAGAGGGACAGTGGGCCTTAAGTGTGTTACTTACACTCAATGACTTATAATATATAGGTAGGTTATACGCCAACATTATTGCATTTTCAAATGCACTTCCCTTGGCAACAGCCGCAAATGGAGTGCACAAATGTTTCACTTTTATTCATAGAGCAGATTACATCTCGCTCTTTAGCCTCTATGTGTCAAAGGTATCAGCAACTGTCAAAATAAGTAATCACTAAATATTCTTAGATTAATTTCTTTAAAACTGTACATGTACACTAAATATTCTTAGATTATTTTCTTTAAAACTGTACATGTACACTAAATATTCTAAGATTAATTTCTTTAAAACTGTACATGTAGACTCAATATTCTTAGATTAATTTCTTTAAAACTGTACATGTACACTAAATATTCTAAGATTAATTTCTTTAAAAATGACACATTTTTCTTGACTGCAATAGTTCCCCTGTATTTTGTGTACTATCTAAAAATACACAGGGCTTTTTGTCTGGAAATACGTAAAATATTTACTCATTGTAGCTAAGTGTAGCCGCGGCGAGAGCGTGCCCGACTAAATGCAAGTCGGGCAATTACCTGACTTGCGTATAGGCAAATTAGAAGCGTGTAAGACGTATCTATAACTTTAAACATCATTGCTTACACCCGGCAACCTGTTTTATTTCATAGTTTTTTGATGTGTAACAACACTTCCTCTCGCTTTCCTGCAATTTGTGAGAGTGATTTCGTGAAATGGGACGGAAGTGTGTAACAGGAAGTCGCAAAAGCGCACGCTATTTGATTTGATTTTAAGAACACAATGTTCAAATGGCTTATTCCTTTTTTGAAGTTATACTTCTTTAGGCGCGTTATGAAAAAATGATGAGAGTGAAATTTTAAGATGCGCGCGCATCACTGTAACACAAAATTTTAACAGCATGAAGTTTATATCATTAGTTTATTAATCTGGAACAACGGAACCAAAGCGCGATTCAGGAGACTACAGCGCCATCTCTTGACCATTGGTGTAGTAGAACCAAAAACCACATCTTTGTTTTTTGTAATAAAGTAACAGATATAGGTATTCATATTTATAATATCAAAAGTATTTATTAATCTGGAACAACGGAACCAAAGCGCGATTCAGGAGACTACAGCGCCATCTCTTGACCATTGGTGTAGTACAGCTATACTCTAAGTGTGTTCCGCGGAACCCTAGGGTTCCGTGATACCTCTGTCGGGGTTCCGCAAGAATTTAGAAATAAAAAAATCAAAACACCTCTCTCTGGTCGCTCCGCGGCTGTGCGGACTCCGCGGCCGCGCGGAGACAAAACGCTATGAATGTTATTTATTTATTTATTTGTATTTGTATAAGCTTGTGTTACATTAGCTGGTACAATATCTCATAAGTTTGGTCTCAACAATTTTATACTTGTACAACGCGTTCGCTCTAAGTTTGCCGGTCTGTGGAATGCGCGTACCCTCCCCCACGTGACAACAAAACTTATAATGTGTCATAGTTTTACCCAAATATCTAACGTACACAATTTTTATTGTTACAATTAAATAAAAAATTTCGAACGTCATACACTCATACCTATCGCCAGCGGCAAACTTAAAACGAGCGGGTAGTATACTTGTAAGCGCTCAGTCTCTTTGATAAAAGCCGCCTCTGAATTAGACGCTATAGTTGTCAACTAGCGACTTTCGTCTCTAACTTCAAAGGATAAAGTCGATATTGTTTACAACGCTATTTTTAAATTTCTGTTTTTATTTTTGCTTTTTGTTTATCAAAGGTGCCGACTCGAGTATTTTCGAGAATATTTGAGATCGAGTCTAGGACTAAGTATAAAAGCGGCGATCGCGCGTTGGCGTCGTCAGTTGATGATTAGCGTTCGGAGCGATAAGTTACTACCTACTTACAAGCTCGCTAGCGAGAAACTGGTGTTCATTGTTTTACTGCCTGCTGTATTCTGTTGTCTCAGTTTTATACATTTCTTCCCTGTAGGTTCTAAATTTAGTCTCTTATACGCAGTAACGATTGTGCATTATTTAAACCCCACTATCCTGACTTGTAACATTTAGAACTTGGAGAATTTAGCAATCACCGATCCAGAAGATGATGCCACGAGTGCCACGACGTCAAGCTCGACGGTTTCAAAGACGAAAAAAAGGAAGTATGATGAATCTTATATCAGTTTCGGATTTGTTGATTCCAACGGCTCACCTCTCTGCATGCTCTGTAGTAAACTGCTTCCTAATAGTTCCATGGCACCTGCCAAATTGCGTCGACATTTAGAAACCGTACACCCCGAGACTAAAGACAAGAATAAAGAATTTTTTGTTCGCAAAAAAGATCAGTTATTAGAAAGTCAAAAAAATATGATGCATGTAACACAAACTACCAACGAAAAGGCCACGGAGGCATCATACTTAGTTAGCTATCGCATTGCACAAGCAGGTGAAGCGCACACTATCGCTGAGAAATTAATAAAACCATGTGTATTAGACATAACAAAATGTATGCTTGATGAAAAATCTGCAAAGCATCTTTCTACTGTTCCGCTATCAAACGATACTGTTTCACGACGAATCCATGATCTGGCAAGCTACGTCAAACAAGAACTAGTTACACGTCTACAAAATACACGATTCGCTTTGCAAATGGACGAGTCGACTGATGTCGCTGGTTTGGCTATCCTGCTGGTTATTGTGAGATATCCATATAAAAGTTCTTTTGAAGAAGACATGCTTATGTGTTCATCGCTGCTTACAAACACTACCGGGGAAGAAATTTTTAATAAAATAAATATATTTTTTGAAGAACATAATCTCAGTTGGAACAATTGCATTGACATTTGTACAGATGGGGCCAAGGCGATGACAGGTAAAACAGCAGGAGCAGTGTCACGAATGAAAAATAAAGCGCCTAATTGTAGTTCCAGTCATTGTATTCTGCATAGACAAGCACTTGCGATGAAGCAAATGCCGTCTAATCTAAAATTAGTTATGGATGAAGCGGTAAAAATAATTAATTTTATCAAATCACGACCACTACAATCCCGATTGTTCTCATTATTGTGTGAAGATTATGGCAGCAAACATAAAACACTGCTGCTCCATACAGAAGTGCGATGGCTGTCTCGGGGAAAAACTTTAACAAGGCTATTTGAACTTAGAGCCGAGTTACAAATGTTTCTTTCAGCAGATACTTCTTTTAATTTGAAGGACCGTTTGTATGATAAAACTTGGTTGTTCCGATTGTCTTTTATGGCGGATATCTTTCAAAAACTTAACGAATTAAATTTATCATTGCAAGGTAAACAGACAACAGTGTTTCAGGCCTATAATAAAATAACTACTTTTAAAAGAAAATTAGATTTTTGGATCATTTGCATTGGTAAGAAAGAAATAGAAAGTTTTACGTTACTCACTGAGTTTGTTAGCGAAAACGACTCAGAAATGTTTGAAGATAATGTGTTTGAAGAATTGGTCCAATATCTCAGTTCGATGCGCGCATCTTTTGAAAAGTATTTTCCCGAAGAACACAATACAAAAATTAAAGTGAACTCCTGGATTCATAATCCTTTTTTACCCAACTTGGAAAAGCCTGAAAACATGTCAAATGAGATATATGAATCTCTTTTAGAAATGTCATCAGACACAAGTATGGAGTCATTGTTCAAAACGACGCCTCTTAATGATTTTTGGTGCAGAATCCAAGATGAATATGCAATGCTTGGCCAAATGGCTCTGGATATTCTTCTCCCGTTCCCAACTACATATTTGTGCGAAACAGGATTCTCTACCTACGCAGCCACGAAAACAAAATATCGCAATAGACTGGACGCCGAAGCTGATATGAGACTCCAACTTTCTTCCATCAAACCTGATATCAAGCAATTGATGAAAAATAAAAAACAGTTTCATACCTCCCACTAGTTAGATTTTTTCTTTTTTAATGTTTTCTATTATTGTCCTTACCAAGTGGTGAAGTAAATAATAATTAGTAACGGATACATTGTACTTTTATTATGCTGATTAATATAGAATACACTTATAAAAATAATTGTTTTATTGTAGGGTTCCATCAAGTATTTTGCTTCCCAAAAGGGTTCCGTCATTTAAAAAGTTTGAGAACCACTGGTGTAGTAGAACCAAAAACCACATCTTTATTTTTTGTAATAAAGTAACAGTTATAGGTATTCATATTTATAATATTTATCCACATGTTTCTAGTTTGTATATTCGGAATACGTGTTTGAGTTTCATACAAGTGCAAATCACATATGTTCTAATAAATTATATTCAGTAGCGATTTTAATTGAATATTTTGATTATTTATTTATTTATTTTTTCAAATTAAAACTGAACTTTATTGACTGTGTCCTTTTCCAGACTTTTTATTAATTTATTGTAATTAATTATTTGCATGCAATTAAAAACTAATTTTAAACGATGCCAAAGAAGGATAACTTCTCACGCGCCTACATAAGTACACGCACCCATTTTTTTTCTTATATAAGGTGAGGTTTTAAATGTTACACATCATAAGCGACTACGGTAAGGCTCGCTCGTTTTTTTTTAATATCTGTGGCTTTCTCCGTTTTGCACAGAAACGCCAATGTCCAGTAGTGGGTATGACGTTAGCTTATGTCACATTGACACGTATTCTTTAGCTTTGTAGGTGACAGCGGAAGTTAAAGTTAGACAAGGGACCGTTGAGGTATAAAAACAAATAAACTCCATATCGTCTAACAAAAGAGCATCAAAAAACGTCCGAGTTGCGTTCTAAATCAACTTATACAGATCTTTTGTTCAATTTAACACGTTATGCTGCGGCAGTAAGGTTCAATGTCAGTTGTATACGAGCGGAAATTTCGAACACGACTGTTTGAAAATTACGCAACAATAGATGAATGTGCGTAATTTTGCTTCCGACACATTTTGAGCGCGATTGTGAGTTGTATGGTTTTTATACGTACTTACAAAGCAAGGGACCTAAAATAAGTATGCGATGTTATGCTTTATGAGCTAACTTTTGAGGCTTCTGTAGCTTCAAGAAAATAGGGATAACTTTTTTTACTACTAATATTATAAATGGGAATGTTTGGCTGTTTGTTACTCAATCATGCAAAAACTGCTGAATGGAAATGGATGAAATTCGACATGCGTTTATTTCTTTCGTATTACATATACTTTGTAGTCCGGAAATTGTTAAGTTCCTGTGGAATTCTTTAAACATTATAATCGAAGTGGCGGACAGAAGATATAGTTGACGAATAATCAAAACGACAATATCTTAAAATAGTGAACTATATTTAACAACTTATATATAAAACTACATGGCTGGTAAGTATCCTAGTTGTTCAAGCTATCGCTGCTACGGGATCCCTTTTGCTGTATTCTGTCGTTGCATCGCGATCGACTGTGCTGATGGGTGACCGCGCTGGATTCTGAAAATATAATTAAATAGATTATAAAATATCCTTGCCGTAGCAATCAATTGCTGAGATCAAACTTCAGTAAGGCCGGAAATTTTTAATGGGTTTTTTCTACGCTATATCGTTTGCCAGTTGATCGGTGACAATTAACCGAAATCCCAATAATATCGACATGCCATTGGATCGAATGAAAATTATCTATAGATAAATAGCTCGGTATGCCAATGGATCAAAAACTAATAAGATCGATATTTTATTAGATCAAATTGCAAATAATCGAATCTCTAGATGATCGATGTGTCAATTATCAAAGGCAAGATTGATTTTTTAAAGAAATAATGAATATCCCAGAATTGTTGCAGTAAAATTATATTAATGTACTATAAACCTGTAAATTGAAATGAACCCATTTAAAAATCGATTTATCGAAACTTCGATCTAATGTCACAGTGATTTATAGAAATAGCGCTCTATTGAAAATCGATTTATCGAAATTTCAATCTAATGTCAAAAGGATCTATTGTAAATTGATTTACCGAAATTTCAATCTAATGTCACTGCGATTTATTGAAAATCTAAATTTCGATCTAATGTCAAAGCGATCTATTAAAAATCGATGTATCTGTCTGTTTGTTACCCGATCATGCTTGGACCGCTGAACGGATTAAGATGAAACTTAGTAGGTATAGAGACAGTTTGAGACCGAGGGGAAAACGTAAAGGATAGTTTTTTGTGCCGCCCAGAAATAAGGTTATTTCTGGATGATTTTAAGAATGTGGAAATTTGAATGGGATACCAATTTTGGCCCCCACCTGCAAGTAACATTATAATTTTTTTTTTAATCTTTTTTTCCATTTGGGAATGGCAAAGGCAGAGCTATGCAGCCATAGTCTTCATTTAAAAAGATTTTTGTGTTTCCTTTTTTCTATAAGGCCGAACCCACTTCTTCAATCATAAGATATTTTGTCCTAAATAGTCTCTCTAATCCATTTTCAGTTTAGGTACTTATTTTTTCCTCCAAATTTTCAAATCCGATTTTTAAATTATCTTGTTTGTTTAACGTCATGAAATTATTATAGTTCCATATCTATGGAAACTAAAAAAATATATAAATATTTGATAACTTTTATTTGACATAATAAAACTTACACGTTTTTTGGCTCTGTCAACTAGAATGGAAAATGCGAAGTGATTCAGCATAACATTGGTCGGTAGCGCCACCCCTTGGAATCTGTACAGCTGTTTCACGTTACTATTTGGTGATCCTGGGCGAAAAAATCTAAATTAATTTAAATAAAATATTTGATTTTATTTGTCGAGTTGGGCTTACAAACGATACAAGTGTGCAGGTGTGTGTCGTATTTACAGTTTTGTTTTTACGCATGAACGTAAAACTGTATTTTTGTTAATTTTGAGGCCATGTAAATTACATGTTAAACTCATATCTGTCTCACGCAAAATAGGCACCAGCCCCTCTAGCATGACCACCGAAACGGGATATGATAAAGCGATATATCGACATTAACTGTCAGACTACTGTCAAACTCCAAAGTAGTCTGACAGTTAATGTGACACGAGTATTTTATATATAAGATAACTCACCTGACAATTTGTGTACAGACGCTACTGTGCATTTGCCGACTTGTGCTGTGTTACTGATCATTGGTCCCTTGGATATGTCAACGTGATCACCTGCCCTGTAGAGGGTCACATTACCTGTGACAAAATTAAAAAAAAAAACTATTTATAATAAAATGCTAAATAAATAAATATTTCCAACAATCACACCAATTAGCCTAGCCCCAAAGTAAGCACTATAAGGCTTATGTTATGGGATACTAGAGTATATAAGTATATTTTTATAGAAATACATATTAAACATCCATGACTGGATTACAAATGCTCGTATTCATCACACAAACATCTACCTCTACCGGGATTTGAACCCGGGACCTCTCGAGTCGGCAACACCATGAAACCTGGCGTACAAACCAATCGGCCACGGAGGTCGTCAAAAAATAAATCTATCCATCCTAGGTCTACCACTAACTACATTGACATTAACTTATTATAAATTTTGATATTTCGGACATATTCAAAGTATACATATTTTTTAAGCATGCAACTGCTTGATGTTTTAATCTAAAGAAATTAAAACTAGAAAAAATTCCATGCGGATCAGGCAGCAGACTGGAGTCCCTCCAGCGCCCCACCTAAGAGGACTTTAAATAGGCTATATGATGAAATTGTTGTTATTGAACATTATCCCTTACCATGGCGACTGGCGATGCTTGGTATCTGTGCCTCCTTATAAGGATTATCAACAAACATTTCCTTGGCCAGTTCCTCTCCTACCTCTAGCCGTTCCAGGGGCAAACCGCGTCGGCAAAACTTTACATATTCCGCGGACAAAGTGTACAATTCTTGTTGGGTAGGTTTCCAATCTTCCAGCGATGGCAAATCGATGTCGTATATGAAGGAGCCGCTGCGGACTGTAAATATTGAAATTCGTTATGATAAATAGCTCGCTACTCCTAATATCACTATCTTTAGATTCTATATCTATTTAAATACGGGGCATATAATGCAATTCAACTAAGAATACGACCGACTGGGCGCCATATTTTGACGTCATAGCTGTCAATTCAAACCAAATAGGTAGAGTGAGCAAAAAAAGTTTCTATTTAATAAAACTTATTTACTTAGATTGAGAGAATAAACAACCGACTTTTAATAATATTGCTTTATTAAGACTGTGAAAAACAACATTAATCAGAATCTAGCTCTTCAATTCCGCTCATCTCTGCATTACCGCCAGAGTAGTTATGAGTAATCATGCAGGTCACATACGAACATGCATCCTGCATGTACTACAAATTCACACACTACATATATAGTCGTGTGACGCTCGAGACGCATTTCCGTTTCATCTTTTTTAAAATAAATAAATAATAGTGTAGAAATAAGTAAATATATTTACTGTCAGGTCCAGGGAAGCTGTGTAGTTTGACAGGCACTGTATCTTTGAAGGCAACAGACGCACATGCACCAAGTAAGAACGAACAGGTGCGCCAGAAGGCCTTGTTGACTTGCTGCGGTTCGTTGACAGTGTAGTTCAGTAACTGCAAGCAACCCCCATATTAAGAAATCAGACTGGAACATTAATTATTCTTTACTAATGTTATAATTAGGAGCTCGATGGCTTGCGATTATGAAGGTTAAGCAACTATTGCAATGGTCAGTCATTGGATAGGTGACAAAACTTATTTTATTATCTCGACCACCTCCATGCTTCGGAAGACATGTTGAGCTGTTGACATGTCCCGGCTGCATCTGCATTTGCTAGCACCCACCAGCGCTAAGCTTTTGTGCTATATCATTGCTGAATACCCCTACTCCAACCATAAGGAACAGGCCTTCCTGCCCCTACAATGGGGACATATGATGGTGATTATAATAAATGATAAACTACTTTGTTTAACTCTATATTGATTTTGATGATCCTTAGTTGCAAGAAATATTTGAAAGTTAAATTGAAATATTTTTTTCTACACAGGTGAAGTTAAGGACTTAAGCTAGTACTACATAAAGTATACTTTAGAGAAATTCCAATGAAAATTTATTACTCTAGCATAAAATGGTTTTGTTTAAATTCATGGTTTGGATTGGATTTAGTCTTATGTAGATTCAATTAGATTTTTTATTCAAAAATCTTTAATCCACCTGCAAAATTTTCATATAGTATTAAACTCTATTAATTTTTCTCTTACTTCTAAAGTGCAGTTCTCATTCAGAGGCCTATGCATATCCCAGTACACAGAACCATCAAGAAGAGCTAATGCACTGGTCTCTACATGCCACTCTGTAAAATCTGGGGAAAAAAACATTACTTACATATATAAACATTTATAGAAGTAAAAAATCTAACTTATATTCATGCACACAGTCACTGCAGAATCAAATTCACAAATTTCAAAATAAACAGTTTATTTGCAATATCTTTTTAAATTTTAGGGAATGCTAAAAAGTATGGGTTATTGGTCCATTAAGAATTTCTTACACACAAATTTATTCATAATAAAGAATAGACTTGAAAGATGTGTTTCCTTTCAGAAACATCTTAGTAAATTGTGATTGACAATTCATAATTAATCGACTGCCAAAAAAGGATAAGGTGTAATGATTTAAGAAATTGCATATGTTTCTATGTGCATTTCTTTTCCAGTTAAACTAAACGCCTTTAGTATTGTTAGAATTGAAAACAAAATGAAGACCACAAAAGTATGGGGCCATGTTTAAAACTAAAAATTTCCTGCAGAGTGATTGTCTGGCTTACACTAGTTATTAATTTATTTTTTAGTTTGTTTTTTGATAGGACAAACTTATTTATGTTGTTTAGCATAATTTAGTTATACTAATCATACATACATACTTGCAGCAAACATTGTTTGGAAACTATGTTTAAGTTTTATTTTTATGACAGACTATTGTTGTGTGGAATTATATGGCATTTGTATCTATCTTTTATAATAACAAAACCCCTAAGCTCTTAATTTGAACAAAAAATATTGGTAAAATAAAGCAGGAACACTGTTTTGCTTACGCCTGGCACAGTCATAAGGTGTGGATATTCCTTTATTCATTACTAAAGTACAATTTTTAGGGACACCCTTGTAGTTAACCTCAATTTTTTCAATTCTCCCAATTTTTTCATGTTGCCTTTTCTTTTCTAATGTGAACAAATGATTTCGGCGCTCTACTGCTTCTTGTGTACTTAAAAATCCTATAAAATAACATAATACCGATGAGCAAACACAAATCACTTTGAAAGAAATTTCGATTGCGCTAATGATATAAAAAAAATTACTTGACGATGATAAGGGCTTGCTATGGTTATTGCAAAATATTGACTTGTGAATTAAACCAGTTGAACGCTTCATTTTGAAATTACTATTTATATTTAAAAATTAATAGGTTATTGTAGGAGGGAGCGAGCCGAGCGCCTCATCGTATATGTCAATGTCAAGTTTTTTTTAATTTTAATTACTCTCGTCTTGGGGAAAGCAAAGAATATCTTTCATTATCTCATTACATTCTTCTATTTTCCTGTTTTCCATTAATTAAGTAGCATCCACACGATACAATTTTACGTCCAATTTGATTAGATTGACAATCGAATTGTGTCGTGTGGACGGAAATATGAAATTGAAGGTCATTGGATGGTCGGTATCGCCCGATTCGGGATTGCCCAATCAAATTGGGTGGTGTGGACGCTAACTGGCCAATTTTTTAACGTAGTCACTATGCAAGCGCGGCGTTCAGACTCAGAGCGGGTGTGTGCGTTGACTTGTCTTTTGAGAAGAAGATGGAGCAACATGACGACAATATTATGTCTATTCGATCTGAACGGGAAGTAATGGAGGAGATTTTAGATATATGTTAAGACTTGCCATGCCTTTGGGATGTGTCTAACCCATTATATAAAAATAAACAAGCAAGGCATAATTCCTTAGAGATTTTGCGCAATAAGTGGAAAAATATTGATAAAAATATTACTGTTATAATTTTTATTATTTTTAAAGCATGTAACTGCTTGATGTTTAAATCTAAAGAAAATATAACTAGAAAAAAATCCACGCCGACCAGGCAGTTATTTGTTATTGAAAATAAAAAATATTTAATTAAATTTATATTCTACTCAATGATATGCGCGCATGCTGGGGTAAAAAAGAAATAATATTATATATATTTTTTTATAATTTTTATTTTTTAAGCATGTAATTGCTTGATGTTTAAATCTAATGAAAATATAACTAGAAAAAAATCCACGCGGACCAGGCAGCAGACGGGACTCGAACCCGCACCCTTCGCAATCTGGGCGAATGCACTGACCAATTATGCTACCGCGGCCCTCACGGACCGCGTCGAAATTCTTCCAGCCATTCTTAACTTGCAAGGCAGCGCCATCTCTTCGCATTATAGGTAACCCACAATGTCAAATGAATACTTTTACAAGTATTAAACATTTGAAAAAAGAAATAGCAATTATATTTTTATTATTTTTAAAGCATGTAACTGCTTGATGTTTAAATCTAAAGAAAATATAACTCAGTTATATTTTAAAGGGTTTTCGAAGGGTGCGGGTTCGAGTCCCGTCTGCTGCCTGGTCCGCGTGGAATTTTTTCTAGTTATATTTTCTTTAAAAATATTACTCTTTAAGTATAACTATATTTAAGTTTATTAATTGAGTCACTTAAATATAACATAACTACATTTAAGTCCTCAATTGCTTTCTTTTTAATAACCATTGTTTTGTCCACAGTCTTCTTTTCTCATCTACATTTGTAGTTAGAGCCAAGATTAATCCAATTTTTTGCTTCTTGGTAAGAGGCATCCTAACACAAACAAGTCCGTTCAGCAGAGGCAACAAATAAAACTGAAATTGGCGATCTTGTTGTGTATGTGTAGACGGACGACCAGATTGTACCCAATTCAATCGGCAATCAGATTGGCAATCAAATTGTGTCGTGTGGAAGGGGTATTAGGCAACCTGTATTGCTCTGATAATGGCGCTGTAGGCAGCCTGTATTGCTCCTAGCAATCCGGCGTTCCACTATATATATTTCTTAGTGCAAATCCCTACATGTCCTCTCTGTATTTACTTCATGCCTTTTATTCAAAACGAATAATAGGTCCTTTACTTATTCACTAAGTGAGACGACGACAAGTTATACTCATATCAAATAATTCTCGGAAATATGGAAATGTAGTCGTGACAAATCCACCCTCTTAATTATATTCAACATTCATTAGAAAATAACAAATCTATGTATTATTAAATATTTAAAATGTTATTATACCGGTGTCGATTCTGGCATGATTATCTAAACCAGCTATACTCTAAGTGTGTTCCGCGGAACCCTAGGGTTCCGTGATAACTCTGTCGGGGTTCCGCAAGAATTTAGAAATAAAAAAATCAAAACACCTCTCTCTGGTCGCTCCGCGGCTGTGCGGACTCCGCGGCCGCGCGGAGACAAAACGCTATGAATGTTATTTATTTATTTATTTGTATTTGTATAAGCTTGTGTTACATTAGCTGGTACAATATCTCATAAGTTTGGTCTCAACAATTTTATACTTGTACAACGCGTTCGCTCTAAGTTTGCCGGTCTGTGGAATGCGCGTACCCTCCCCCACGTGACAACAAAACTTATAATGTGTCATAGTTTTACCCAAATATCTAACGTACACAATTTTTATTGTTACAATTAAATAAAAAATTTCGAACGTCATACACTCATACCTATCGCCAGCGGCAAACTTAAAACGAGCGGGTAGTATACTTGTAAGCGCTCAGTCTCTTTGATAAAAGCCGCCTCTGAATTAGACGCTATAGTTGTCAACTAGCGACTTTCGTCTCTAACTTCAAAGGATAAAGTCGATATTGTTTACAACGCTATTTTTAAATTTCTGTTTTTATTTTTGCTTTTTGTTTATCAAAGGTGCCGACTCGAGTATTTTCGAGAATATTTGAGATCGAGTCTAGGACTAAGTATAAAAGCGGCGATCGCGCGTTGGCGTCGTCAGTTGATGATTAGCGTTCGGAGCGATAAGTTACTACCTACTTACAAGCTCGCTAGCGAGAAACTGGTGTTCATTGTTTTACTGCCTGCTGTATTCTGTTGTCTCAGTTTTATACATTTCTTCCCTGTAGGTTCTAAATTTAGTCTCTTATACGCAGTAACGATTGTGCATTATTTAAACCCCACTATCCTGACTTGTAACATTATAAATAAAGAAGAATGGAACGTTGGCTTAAAGGTGTTAAACGTGTTCCAACAACATCTTCTAATGACGCTGAATGTTCAAAAGCAATGCGCGCGGAGAATTTAGCAATCACCGATCCAGAAGATGATGCCACGAGTGCCACGACGTCAAGCTCGACGGTTTCAAAGACGAAAAAAAGGAAGTATGATGAATCTTATATCAGTTTCGGATTTGTTGATTCCAACGGCTCACCTCTCTGCATGCTCTGTAGTAAACTGCTTCCTAATAGTTCCATGGCACCTGCCAAATTGCGTCGACATTTAGAAACCGTACACCCCGAGACTAAAGACAAGAATAAAGAATTTTTTGTTCGCAAAAAAGATCAGTTATTAGAAAGTCAAAAAAATATGATGCATGTAACACAAACTACCAACGAAAAGGCCACGGAGGCATCATACTTAGTTAGCTATCGCATTGCACAAGCAGGTGAAGCGCACACTATCGCTGAGAAATTAATAAAACCATGTGTATTAGACATAACAAAATGTATGCTTGATGAAAAATCTGCAAAGCATCTTTCTACTGTTCCGCTATCAAACGATACTGTTTCACGACGAATCCATGATCTGGCAAGCTACGTCAAACAAGAACTAGTTACACGTCTACAAAATACACGATTCGCTTTGCAAATGGACGAGTCGACTGATGTCGCTGGTTTGGCTATCCTGCTGGTTATTGTGAGATATCCATATAAAAGTTCTTTTGAAGAAGACATGCTTATGTGTTCATCGCTGCTTACAAACACTACCGGGGAAGAAATTTTTAATAAAATAAATATATTTTTTGAAGAACATAATCTCAGTTGGAACAATTGCATTGACATTTGTACAGATGGGGCCAAGGCGATGACAGGTAAAACAGCAGGAGCAGTGTCACGAATGAAAAATAAAGCGCCTAATTGTAGTTCCAGTCATTGTATTCTGCATAGACAAGCACTTGCGATGAAGCAAATGCCGTCTAATCTAAAATTAGTTATGGATGAAGCGGTAAAAATAATTAATTTTATCAAATCACGACCACTACAATCCCGATTGTTCTCATTATTGTGTGAAGATTATGGCAGCAAACATAAAACACTGCTGCTCCATACAGAAGTGCGATGGCTGTCTCGGGGAAAAACTTTAACAAGGCTATTTGAACTTAGAGCCGAGTTACAAATGTTTCTTTCAGCAGATACTTCTTTTAATTTGAAGGACCGTTTGTATGATAAAACTTGGTTGTTCCGATTGTCTTTTATGGCGGATATCTTTCAAAAACTTAACGAATTAAATTTATCATTGCAAGGTAAACAGACAACAGTGTTTCAGGCCTATAATAAAATAACTACTTTTAAAAGAAAATTAGATTTTTGGATCATTTGCATTGGTAAGAAAGAAATAGAAAGTTTTACGTTACTCACTGAGTTTGTTAGCGAAAACGACTCAGAAATGTTTGAAGATAATGTGTTTGAAGAATTGGTCCAATATCTCAGTTCGATGCGCGCATCTTTTGAAAAGTATTTTCCCGAAGAACACAATACAAAAATTAAAGTGAACTCCTGGATTCATAATCCTTTTTTACCCAACTTGGAAAAGCCTGAAAACATGTCAAATGAGATATATGAATCTCTTTTAGAAATGTCATCAGACACAAGTATGGAGTCATTGTTCAAAACGACGCCTCTTAATGATTTTTGGTGCAGAATCCAAGATGAATATGCAATGCTTGGCCAAATGGCTCTGGATATTCTTCTCCCGTTCCCAACTACATATTTGTGCGAAACAGGATTCTCTACCTACGCAGCCACGAAAACAAAATATCGCAATAGACTGGACGCCGAAGCTGATATGAGACTCCAACTTTCTTCCATCAAACCTGATATCAAGCAATTGATGAAAAATAAAAAACAGTTTCATACCTCCCACTAGTTAGATTTTTTCTTTTTTAATGTTTTCTATTATTGTCCTTACCAAGTGGTGAAGTAAATAATAATTAGTAACGGATACATTGTACTTTTATTATGCTGATTAATATAGAATACACTTATAAAAATAATTGTTTTATTGTAGGGTTCCATCAAGTATTTTGCTTCCCAAAAGGGTTCCGTCATTTAAAAAGTTTGAGAACCACTGATCTAAACCTAAACTTGACAACAGTCTATCTTTGTCATTCTCTATACAGAATAAAAAGGAGAGACTGATCTTAAATTAAGTTTTAAGTTTAGAGAATCATGCTAAAATCAACATCGTTATCTACTATATGCACAAAAAATAAGGAAGAAAGAAATCTTTGATGCACCATAATTTAGTAAGAAATGGGTAGCAAAAATTTGGCTTCTACATGGTTTCATTGTTCATTCAGCAAAGTATGTTTATGTGATTTATTGAAACAGACCTGCAAATAAGGACAGAGGAGAGGAGAAGCAAAATTCATGACAAGTTTAGTTTAAGTCTTATTGATACATTCTATTACAAAACAGATATAACTTTTGAAAATAAGTCAGTAATATTTGACTATTCAATAAATTTTTTCAACTTATCCATAAGAGTCAAATGCTTCAAATGACCTATAAAAATAGCTTTATAGTGCGATCAAGATCTTGTGGCACATAGCGGAAAGCAGAACTAATTTTAAGGAATATATAAGCCTCTTATTTTGTAGCCGAAAATGTAAAAAGCCTTTTATATTCCTAATACTCTTTCGGAATCATAGTAAATTATATTCTATTTACAACATTCCATTTAGTGAGGAGACTCTACATACTTAGCAGTCCTCTTTTTACCACTTATTTACTAGCAGCACCCTCCTGTCAATGTCATCTAAGTGTCTCAATATCTTGATCACACTGTATTTGATTCACAATCAATTAAAGAACCTACACTTGTAACAAAATTACAACAATGCTACCCTACCATAGTTCTCTTCCGTCCCCTTGCTCTGACTTCTTCAAACTTACTCAATATCTCTTTTACATTGTTTTTATTGAATTTCTTATAAGCTTCCAAGATTTTGTTGAATAAGTCAGGATAATCATTGTGTGTACTGATCAACGCTCTTTCCAATACGTACAAATCAACTCCTTTATCTTCTGTGCTAGTATCGATGAATGATAAACCAAAATCTATCATTACTAACTCCAGATTAGCTACATCCAGCCATTTTGAATTATCTGCTACTCCTGCGCTACTTATTTTGGGAACAAGTAACATGTTTGATGATGTTAGATCTCCATGTATTATATTATTATCGTGCATCTTTCGAACTGCCTCTCCAATCATTTTGGCAACTACATCCAAAATGATATCACCATCACAATTAATTTGTTCTTTACTGACTATATTTATGACAAAGTCTTTTATGGTTATACTTTCCACAAAATGCTGCATGTAAATGCGACGCCTCTCAAAATCTACCAAATATAAGCAAGGAGTCTTCACACCAGCTGTTTTACATCGTACTATCGAACGCGCTTCATTTTTTATTCTCTCTTTAGTGATGGATGTGTCCAAATCAGAATGGCGGTAATTTTTCTTAAATCTCTCCTTTATCAGTGCAGGCTTACCAAGATAATTGCATATGTAAAGCTTGGCTTCAGCACCTTGTTTTAGAATCTTATAATCTTCTGCCATTTTAAATTTTCTGAAATAAGATTAAATACATTTTTTATGGTTAGATTCACAACCTAAAATCTTAAAAATAAAAAACGCGTTACTTCTTGAATAACTATAACTTAAAAGTTATTCTTTTGATAATACAAACATTATTTGAATAATAAGTTTTAATATCTGATAGAACTGTAAAGAAATTAGCAATCCTTGCTAAACTCGATTTGTTTATTAGAGACAGACAGTAGTTATCGTTTGACTTTGACATTTTGTAGGGTTATACCAAGGACGCCAAAACCTTGCTTATTGATAATATGCTAATCCTTGCTGAAATATTACTTCATCCTTAATCTATTATTTAAGATAATTTAACGTACGATTGCTTGCCATTGCCCTTTATTTAACTATTAATTTATAGAAAAAAATGACATCTTTTTGAAATAAAAGAAAAATATAGCTATCTTCCTCTATTGTTGTAGGAGCTGCCCGCGCGGATGGTGCAATTGCCGAGGTTCTTGTGTGTCACGTAGGATGAGATGATATCCCTTAACCCACTAATGAACATATATAATATAATCATTTACAAATGAAAATATGTCAGGAATTGTGCCCAGTATTGCGCAGTAGGCGTGGAATGGCAAGGTTGATCTGTTGATCATGATATCTGCCAGCCTTTTGATCACCAGTAACGTCGGTGAGCCTCTTTGACAATTCCTTAAAAAAGGAACGAGCGCTTGGTCCCCATGGACCGATAGATAGTCCCAACATCAAACGGCACAAATATTATGTAGTTCTCACTGAGAGGAGAATATTTACGCCGCTTGAAGCATTCAGCAGAAACCGTTGCAATGCCTGTAGCAAGGGAGATGGCATACCTGTATAAAAATACAAGATATATAATATAAAAACTATAAAAGTACAAGAGGACGACCCGGCTTCGAAGGAATGAGCGTCATCGCGTCAGATCTCTTGCCATCTTCACGAAAGATGTCGCTAGGCTCAAGAGTTCTGCGGATGACGACATTGATGCAAGCGGGGCGGGAAATGCGGCCGACACCCATTTGGCATGAGAGACCATGGTGTCCCCACTCAAAATCAAAATCAAAAAAATCAAAAAAGTTTATTACGGTACCACATTTGTTTTACATCAAACCAGGGTGGGTTCCTTCTATTAAGTGTTAAACACCTGTACCAGAAGGAACCACTCTTCCATAGCATCATTGATATTTTATCATTATGATTTATCTTGACGCCAAGTCTAAGCAATATTGCAAGAGTCAGAGCGATCTCATCAAGCAAAGTCCTGATATTATCTGAAGGTAGAGCTTGCAGCCATTAACCAGACTGTCCGTAAGACCGCTAGAAGGCAAGCACGTTCAATGGCGCTAGAGGAAGCTAAAAAAATACTCTGAAGATGCATGCCCTATATTGTTTTTATATAGTGAACCGAACAGTTGTTTAAATTCATAAATAATAGATACCCTTTCTTATCGATAAAATAGATAATGGAGCATCACTACAACGATGTTTTTAATATGTTTGACAAAGGTGACTTGAATTTGAGACGTGCAGCCTTAAATAATAACTTTTTGATGAAACAAGGAATTTAATTTATTTGAGATAGATTTACGTTCGTTTTACTGCTGAGAAAATAATGTTAACCAACATCATTCTATGAATCCTTATTAACTTTTACTTGCATACTGAAATTGCATTGCAATCAGTAATTAAGATGCAATTTAACGTTCGGCACTCATAGGCCGCACTTTTAATCACGTCAGGGTATAGTCGTAAACACCAATCGATTTGAAACCTTAGTGGTACCATCCAAAGCACTTTCTGATCTGATTTCCAAAGTCGATTGTTTAATTTTGATATTTTGTGCAAGTCTGTCGTACTGTACGTACAATTTATAGGTAGTTATATTATGATATGTATTTGGTACTATCTACCTACTTTCTATACGCGTATCGTTCGTTATTCGTATTTATGACTGGAGAATAGAGAGAGCGAGCGCGGCGAGGGAGGCTGTGCTGTGTGTGATATTGGTTGTAGCACTCGAACCGGCTGGCGGCGTATAATTTCATTTGCTACTCTAATTCCCAGCATTTTTTAAAACTAGTGATTTATTAGTCAAGTACGTGTAAATAAATATACAAAAACCAAGCCTTAAACATTTAAAATCATCGAGTGAAAACATACCAAATAAATTGCTATTTAAAATAATTTTTATAGTGCATATTTAGTATACTGTGATTTTTTTAATATAAATTGTGGCAAAATGTCTGTGGAAGGTTTGGAATACGAAAACATCGTGCAGAATGGACCTAAAAAAGTAAGTCCTTTTTTTTAATTTTCACATTTCAAAATTTTATTGTTGCCTATTGTTTTAATTTTTTACTCGTATTTTATGCAGGTATTTCATTTTTAGTAAGTAAACTGTTAATTAAATGGTAAATACAGCGATGTCATATTACACCGGCCTGAATTTCATGCTCGTTTCTGACTTTGGTCGGGGGTGGGGTGCAGACGGTATCCTATACAAATGTCTGGGTGCGTTTTGGTAGGTAGGTACGTATACAAAACTGCAGTAGTAGTCGCGTCAGTCACGGGGTCTATTCTCCGGGTAGACGAACTTTCGAAAATCGAACGAAATGTTTTGAAAACGGAATCAAAACGACATTAATGCCTAGGATATTATGTACATGTATAATTAGGTAGGTACCTACCCTTAACAATCGCCTACATTGAACAACCCAGGGGCGTATTTATCCTAGGCTATAACACGTTTTTATCAAGCTCACTTGTCAAATTACTATAAGTTTGACAGTTAGTCGCGATAAAAAACGTGATATACCTAATGCAAATTGTGGTGCTTATGCTACAGGAACTGGGCGGCAGACTGTCAGGGTCGGCAGTAGCCTTTTCAAGAATTATTTGTTCATGACCTATAATTTTATTTGGTTAATCAATTCTAGGGGGGGGGGGGAGTGGTAAATACAGATTTGTAAATACGCCCCTTTGACAAAATAGAAGTCAGGGGAGTCGGCTGTTCTCATTGTTCCTTGTCATTAATGCGGCAAAACTATATTTAGAATAGTCCCCATAGCAGACTGCAATAATTTCTTTCACTCGTCGATCCAGACTTCCAGAGATTGGCGGGAATTTACGTAGGCAGGTCGATTTATTTCAAACACCGGAAAATTCAATTGATTTAAATTTGATGATTATGGAATTATTAGGACTTACCTACTTTAACTTAATATGCCTCTCAATTATTTAATTTGCATTTTCATTTTTTCTTTTATATACTTTGTAGGTAGGTACTTACGTACCAAAGTGACTGGAAGCTGGCGTTTTGATAACGGAAATAGACTCCTATTTAAGAAAAAAAAAACTAATAAGTTAGACTACTACTACTGATAATTCATAAGAAATTAGAGACAATAAAGTTAATATTTAAAGACACTGAGGCTAAATCGGATAACTTCTTCAACTGTATGCATATGTCACCGGCGATCTGTATACTGCAATTCAGGTATTCCATACAATACACAGGCAATATATAGAATGCCTGGGGCATCTAGGCAATGTATAGAATGCCTGGGGTGTCTAGGCAATGTATGGAACATTACAAATATTATTTTCCATTTTATACTTTGCTTTCGTTATGTATTACAATTCCTAAGGATTGTAAAGAATATCTGCTGGCCTAACTAACTATTTTTTTTTATCTGAGATTCATTTTGCTTGAAAATCTGTCCTTTTTTATCATCTAAGACCAAGATGATTCTACCATGCCTTGGGTCAGAGCTGCACAGCTCTGCTGGCAAAATAATTTATTGACACAATTCAAAATAAAAAGGAGACGTACCTACACGTATCGTAAAGTTTCGAAATTTGCCCGTGACTGAACGAACTAATAATGTATTGGTTTTACGCACAGAACAAAAAGTTTACAAAGGTGGTCATAGACCGATTGTACGGGGACCGATGTCGTCGGAGCGCCGCTACTACACTTCCATCTAATAGATAATAGCCAATCGAACGACCCGAAATCAAACAATCGAACCAATCAGCGCTCACACCCGAGAGGAACGATGCAATCAGAACCAAGTTTTGGTCAAGTTATGAGCATTTGCTCTCACATAACTGTGGCGCGCTTACCTGCCCACACAAGGCCCTTCTAACCACTTTCAGTGTTCTTTGGTTGTACGCCATTGTATTGTTCGTGATTTACATTTTAAGTTTTTTTTTATTTTCTTTACCGTAAGATTTTTTAGTGAAGACCTGGGGGCCAATCGCCTAACGGAAATGCTTTGGGAAACGCTAACGCTTACGATTTTATATTGTTATTTCTAGCCGCCTGAGGTTTTCGAAAACCTCACGCTCATTTTTTTTAATATTGTTATTACCAATGCAAAAGAAAAAGAAAGAGCGCGAGGCATTTGAATACCTCAGGCGGCTAGAAATAACAAAATAAAATCGTAAGCGTTAGCGTTTTCCAAAGCATTTCCGTTAGGCGATTGGCCCCCTGCTTAGTTAAAACAATTCTATGGATTTTTAACGGTAAAGCCATATTGTAGCTGTGTAAACTTTTGCGCCCGCTTTTCGAAAATAGCTTAAAACCATTATTGTGTCACAATGTGTTAATAAAACCGTGTGAAATTTTAAATTTGGATCGTATTCATGCAACGCAAAGCAACCTTTTAGTTTTCTTTTTTATTACATACATTAATTGGTACATAAAATTGTGATTCAGTAAATTATTTATAGCATTTCTCTATAAGTATGTATTTTAAAAAACTGTGTTAGTTCTATTTTTATATATAATATCCCGTTAACCCGACTACTGAGGCAACTACAATTACGTCAGTAAATAGACACAATAGATGGAATGTTCACAAGACGACAAACCTGTTTGTTGGTCCGTTACACTTGTTGATGGCAATTAAGCTTCCTTTACGCTTTCAACTGTTAGCTTTAGATAAACAATCAAATCGCTTAAAAAGAGGGAGTTACAAAATTACGGATACCTTGCGTCCAATACTGTCGCTTTTTCGTTTCATCGGGTTTCAAATTACAGCAGTGCTGAAGAAGTTTTCACATTCAAAAAATATTTTGTAATGCATGAAATTACAAAGACAATTAATTATACTTATGAGTATTATAACATCTGTCATCTTCAACTAAAAAAAAAGTTGATAAGTAAACGTATATCTTAAGTGTCTGTATCTATCAGGGACTTTTTGGCGGGATCGGAAAGCGTCACTTTAGCAGTTTTGTTTTTCTTGTTTAAAATTGTGTTGTGGCGGATGTTAGTGTCTAATAATGGTGGATTATTAACCACTAAGTGTTCGGGAACATGCACAAGTGTTGGCAAGTGAAACAAAATAGCGGAAAGTGTCTTTCGACGTTCCCTCAAGAAGTCCACGAGGAGGTTCCAGTAAATCCCCACACTTTTACTGAAACATAGGGAAAGGGGGATTGACTTGACTGCCACTTACTTTGACTTAATTTATTACTTTGACCACGAGTGCTATAGAATTTCTAAACATTTTAACACTTGATATTGGCTTAATGCACCAACCGTGCGAAGCCATTTAGGAAAAAAAAAGTATCTGTCTGTTCCAAAAAATTGGTTCGT